TGATTTCTCAAATAGACATGCGACGAGGTGTAGAGAGATTTGTAGACAACGGTGTTCTGTTTGCAATGGTTTTGTTGTGCAGAAGGGTGGCCGTCTGATGTCCACCATGCTGGAAGAGCGCTGCTGTGCAGGTAACGGAGGAGGCGAGGCGATGTCCGAGTCGGTAAGGAAGAGCCCGGCGGTTTGACCGAGTGAGAAACCGTCGGTAAGGCACACGCGGTTCCGTGACTCGGATCGCCCGGGTTATCGTGCGCGCTGCGTAGGAAGGTTGGGTGATGCTGCAAGAAGGCGGGATAGGCGTGGCCAGCGCCGTACCGTGCTGCGCAGGTATTGGCTACGAGCGGCGTGCACGAGTGAGGCACGTGTGCGCTCGAGGATGCCGCGAAACTCGAACGGTTCTCGGAAGTGTTCGCAAACACCTTGTTGCCAAGGTCTAAATGTTGTTGCGAGGCCGAGAAAGAATGCGGCGTTATGATGCCGGTGCTTTTCTCGTGAGGGGTACCTTGATCAGGGATGCCCTCCGAGGAAGCCGATGTTGCCGCTGGATCAGAAGGGCCCGTAAGGCCCAGGGACCAGGAGGTCGACCCGGCTCCTTGTTGAATTGATTGCAGGTCCTGCTGCTGCTGTTGGCACTGGGGCGGCGAGTTGAGGCCAATGAGCTGTTGGTCCTGCAGTTGAGAAGGAGGCGGCGGCGGGTTGCTGCTGCTTCGGATGTCCGGATGATGTTCGTCGAGAGGCGAGCCTGTGGGCTCAGGCTTCTTGATCGGCGAGTGATGCACCATGGTTAAGAATACAGCCGAAATGTTCAAGAGAATGTACGCACAGCGCGTGAGAGACGTGCGAGTGATCACGAGCGTTCACGCCCGCGGCGAAAAGAACGTTTTTCTATTGTTCGGCACCACCGACGCGAGACGCACAATGCGACTGAGGTTGCGTGTATCAGCGGAAAAAAAGGCATTTTTTCAGCTGAACGAAGGGTCACCAGTGTGGAGGTTAAGAAGGGATAGCCCGGGAGGAATCTAGGTACGTGCCCACTGAGTACTCGGCACAGAGATTAAGAAAGACTCCTTTATTTCGTGGAGAAACACTAGAACGATGCAGCTCTAACGGCGGGCTAGTCTCCACTGTTCTTCTGCCGCACAGCGACAAAGGACTAGACGTGCAGTGACAAAAGACTAGCTCGCCGGCGTGTGGTGGGGGGCGAGTTCGCATGCAAGCGAAATAGAGTATGGCCGCCACATCAGGTCCCTGGGATGTTGTTTTGAGTGCATTCAAAATTTTGATGATTACGCAAGATGCGGAGAAATATGACGCGGACCCTGTGCTCTTGGAATTTCTGAAATAGACAGGTGTCAAACAACGATAAGAATTGTGCGTGTTTGGTGGGTGCATTTGTATGCATCTATGCATTATCCATCTCAAACGGACTTAACAAGACCAATTAACAATAAAGAGGTACAAGACGTGATATAATAAAATGCTTGTCTTAGCGTTATAATGTTACCGCGAGAAGCGCAGACAATATTCAGGGTTAATGTGATGATATATTAATATTGGAGTGAAAGAAATATTTTGCGTAATTTAGCTATTTGTTTTTACAACTTGCTTTGAATGACAATGTATGATTGCTCTTAAAAAATAAAATAATGCTGTTACAGGATGTACGTGGCACATGTTACGTAAAACAGCGTTGATCGTTACGAAATTGATATATTTGAACAAAAATTACATAAGAGAGTCAAGGTATGTGTTCAAATTAAGGTAGTTGGTCCATAGAATGCCAGATTTTCAATAGCGATATTAATAGGACTTCATAAATTTAGCTATTTATCGAAAAAAAATTGTCTTATTTTAATTTAATTATGTAAATAATAAATGTTAGTTTTGAATGAAAAACAAACAAATTTTGAATTAAGACAAACAAATACCAGGTGTATGCATAAGTTTTTTTCCGGTTTTTTGATAAAAAAAAACACGTAATTTTCAAGGGAAATTAATTTTTTTTTTTCAACATATTGGCCATCGGCTTCTACACATTTCGCCCATCTTTCAGATAATTTATGAATACCATGCCAGAAAAACTGCTTGTCTTTTGCGGCAAACCATTCGTCGAGCCATTTTTCAACTTCCTCGAAATTGCTGAAGTGCCGCTCTGCGAGCGCGTGCCCCATTGATGCGAAGAGGTAATAGTCAGATAGCGCCAGGTCTGGGGAGTACGGCGGGTGCGGAAAGATGTCCAATCCAAGCGATTTCAAGGTGTCTTTCACTGGTTTTGCTGTGTGAGACGGCGCATTGTCGTGTAAAAAAATCACTTTGCCATATCTTCTGGCCTATTCCGGTCGTCTTTCGATTAATGCGTGGTTTAAATTAATCATTTGTTGGCGATAGCGTTGTGTATTAACGGTTTCGCCGGGTTTCAAGAGTTCATAATACACAATACCGCTCTGGTCCCACCAGACACAGAGCATGGTCTTCTTGCCGAAGCGATTTGGCCTTGGTGTTGATGGACCGGCTTCGCCAGGTGAAAGCCACGATTTTTTCCGCTTCGGGTTTTCAAAATAAATCCATTTTCCGTCACCCGTCACAATTCGATACAAAAATGATTTCCTTTCGTGGCGTTGAAGCAGCATTTCACAAGTGACTTTGCGATTTTCCATTTGACGTTCATTCAAATTGTGTGGGACCCATTTACCGAGTTTATTGATCTTTCCCATTGCTCGTAAACGTCTGCTGATTGTTTCTTGTGATACATGTAATGCTTCTGCTAATTGCCGTTGAGTTTGAGTTGGGTCATCATCCAATAACTCCTGCAATTGCTCGTCTTCGCATTTTTGTGGTCTACCAGAGCGCTCACTGTCTTTCACATTGAAATCACCATTTTTAAATTGTCGAAACCATGTCTCACATGTTCTAATCGATGGAGCGTGTTCACCATATGTTTCTACCAGCAAACGATGACTTTCAACAGCCTTTTTCTTTTGATTAAATAAGAAAAGCAATGCGTGCCGCAAATGTTCTTTTTCAGGCACAAAACTCGACATGATCACTGAACGATAAAACAAAGACGCTAGTTTTTGGCGGACTCAACTTGTGTGTGTTTGTAGTTTTAAATGTCAGACGAACAAAATGACGTATGTGTCAAATTAATACGCTGCGTACTTTTCGCTGGCGCCATCTCTTAGTTAAACCGGAAAAAACTTATGCATACACCTGGTATACAATATTACAAATATGAAGATATTATTTAACTTTTATTTTTCTTATTAATTTATATGTTAGTTCATCATGTTTAACTTCAGGGCTCTGAAGTTGCTGTGACTATTCTTGTTTAATATCAGAAGTGAGAAGATGCAGACTAAAATTTTTTGCGTTATACTTTCAATTAAAAAATGTATCCACAAAATCACATTTGTAATCGATTCAGCAAACTTGTAAAATTGGACGAACGCTTTTCTTTTACTCGAATAATCAATAAGTAGTCATAAAATTAGCATTGACAAAATCATAAGAAAAAAGATTGGTTCCATGTCAATTAATTTTGTGACTACTTATTGATTGTTTAAGTAAAAGAAAAATGTTCATATTGTTCTAGTTTTAAGTTGAAATCTATTATAAGTGTTTCAATTTTACAAATATGCATAATCGATTACAAATGTTATTTTGTAGATATATGTTTTTATTGAGAATGAAAATATGAAAGTATAATCAAAACATTTTTGCATGTGTTCTCTCATTTCTGACATCATTAATCTGGGAATAGTCATTTCAGCGGTCAGAAAATGAAACTCACATCTCAGTGGTTTTTTTACAGAAAGTAAAATTCTTTACTAATATTACACCGGCGTGAATATGAAAAGCGATCATTTTCGTCGGCTTACCGTGCGCGATAACAAAATCTGGGGACCGGTGATCGACCCTCGCAATGACAACTTTTCAGTGATCGACAAACCTCGTACGAGTGTAGGGATCTTTTCGTATTCGCGTTGCGAGCGAGCCCCGAGCCGGGAACAGGGCACAACAATTTAGTTTTGTGCGGAGAAATCCGTCGGCTCGGCTCCGATAATTGCCCCCGACGCTCCCTCTAATTATCTTACATCAAAAGTAACTTTCGCCAAATAAAAAATACGTCGGACATCCGTTTCGGTAGCTGACCAAGGGAAGAATTTCTCGCGACATCGATTTTAGCTAATACGATTTGATGGTTTTACATTAACACTTTAATGGCCGCTCACACAACATGTGTGTGATAGCCGGAACAACTGTTATTGTCCGCTCACACAACATGTGTGTGATGCTACCGCCGAAGAAAATATTGCTGGCCCCTGTCGACGTTTGACTGCGTAGACGTGCGGCCATTAAAGTGTTAAAATGACTCCCAGCGGCTTGGCTGCCTGGTGTCTCGCTCGTCCGTTCTCCAATCGCGTTCCATAACTCGTTCTCTCGCTTTCTCGATTGCTCTCACTTCTCATCCCAAAGTAACGCGGTCTCTCGATACCCAAAAAAGTGGAGTTGGAGCGCACTACCCGGAAAATACCAAGCGCCCTTTTTTTTTTAATTGCTGGCAAATTTTCGGAAGTTTTTTTGTCTTTTCCGACAATCCAATCGTCTTCCTCGAACTGCTGCTCTCACCGCTTACGCCTCTTGCCGTCAATATTATAGTTCTTCTGATTTGACCTTGTGGGACTTTTCTTTGCGATAGTTATAAAAGCGAATAATATTTGGTGTGGTGTCTATTTGGGAGATGTGTGAGTTATTAAAATAGGGAGGGACTTGTCGTTGCGATAGTTATAAAAGCGAATAATATTTGGTGTGGTGTCTATTTGGGAGATGTGTGAGTTATTAAAATAGAGAGATTCAGCTTAGTGTTATCTCGCATCGTTCTCAGTTGGCGTTCCTCTGTTCCTCTTTTATTCCTAGCTCCTCCGTGAGTGTACTCTCCTCTTCTCGCCACTGTTCGGAGCTGGAGTGTCACACTTATGGAGGTATACGCGCCCCCATAAGTGTAACACTCCAGCAGAAACGTAGGCACCACGGATGGCTCCGTGCACTGTAAGTGAGCGGTGCCCGCAAATAAGAGAAAATCTAAATTTTCGCGCACTCACGGTGAGTACGGCCCACACAATAGTGCCTCCACGGAAGCACTCGCCTCTTGTGACAGGCGCTCTTAGGACTGCATATTTAAGCAGTTTCTAAACAGTTCTAGGCACTGGCGATATCGTATAATTTTTAAATAAATTAATACTGCCCGAGAGCCGCATACTTAGAGAGAATAGTATGAGAAGCTGGCCGAAATTTCAGAGTTATGGATATTCTAAAAGAGTTCTCATATTATTATGAGGGTGTTGAAGTATTTTCTAAAGAGTTTTATATATTGGCGATATTGTATGATTTTTAAATAAATAAATTCTGTCTGAACGTCGCGTATTTACAAGAGGAAGAAAGATTGTCAGATTTCGCCGAAGTTGAAATATGCTGTAGTGTCATACCTCCACTAATATATGGTAAAGCAATTCAATATAACTCTGAAGTATTCACGAGAAAATAGAGTTTAAAAGTTTAGGTATACTTTATACACTACAAAGTTAAAGTCGAAGGTTTAGGATCCGATAAGCAAAGAACCCATTGCCGCGATTTGATTTCCGTTCGCGGGACCGTGCACGGCGGTGCACGATCCGACCTAGTGGTGAGGCTGCGTCCCCGTTTTTTGACTCTGAGCTGCCGGACCGACGAAGTAAAAAGGTGGAGAAGAAGAATGTGACGAGTCAAGAACACTCGATGAACGAAGGAGCGCCGACAGGACCAGCCTAAGAAGGACACATGGTGAACCCCTCCAGAAATATTCGAATAGTTACCGATGAACGTCGATACCGATCGACGCATCTTATTACAGCTGCTGAAGAAGCGGAGGCCGATGATACCGCAGTCCTGGCTTAGCAAGAGCACCAGGAGTCTTTGGATAAAGCTACCGGAAAGACCCGCGAGGCAGGTGCAGGCGAGAGGGCGAGCGGTAAGCTGGAGCAAGGAACGAAGAAGCTTTGAAAAGTTTTGGAAACGACCAAGGAAGAGGGGCTCTGGTGTGATCGGCAGATCGTGCGCTCCGGACTTCACTTCGTTGGTGGCACGCGTTGTAACAGCAGCGAACCGAGTGAACGATCAAGAGAGCGAGACAGCACCGGCGATAAAGAGAGAGATAGAGATGCTATCGAGTCAGCGAAATAGCCGACAGGAAGTATTGTGAGAGCAGCACGATTATTATGTAAAGTCACCTATTTGCACCTATTTCCGTAGAGATTAAAGTCCGGCGCGATGGAGAGCGAAAATCCTAAGCAGGTTGCCGGGGTCAACCGACGGATATGGTGACTATTAGAATATTTAGTGTTGGATATCGGGGCGATCAGTCGGAGCTGTGCGTGGAGGAATCTCCCTCGTAGTCGGAGAAGTTAGCGTTTAATTGTCACAAATCGAAGTAGGACTCGCGAGGAAGGGCTATCGAGAGGATTAGGGGGGCGGGTCGGCGTGGCGGAGCGATAGGGGCTTTCTCATTTTGGTGATAATAGCGTTTGCGTAATTATGTTTTGCGGAGAGAAGTTTTGGAGCTGCCGTCGGAACCATGTTCCGGATCGTCCTCGCGTCTGCATTGCGAAGAAGTACAATCCGCGTACCGAACAGTGAATTGTTCGTCTCGCCTAGCTCGAATAAGATTGCTGCCGCCACGAAGTCAATTTGTGCTATTAACTGTCAACCTAGCTTACATCTGACCGATATAATAAATTTTATTATCGTTACAAGGTAGTAATTATTTTTCCAACGATTGACCTCCGAATCCTCCCCTTTTCCGACTTAAATTAATCCGAGAACTGCCGGACCCGTTCGCTATCTAATCGCGGAAAATTTCGAGAGTTAGCGTAGAAAATTTTGTGGGCGCGTAACGGTCGCGTTTGGTATCCAGAAATTTCGCAATAATTAGTGATAACGATTCAGGTCGGTGGTAATTGCGCAAGAAAAACTTGCCGCAACACTCATTTGGAGACAGTGATAATAGTAATGACTAAATGACTCGTGACTCAAGTTTACTTTTTATTGTTACTGTGTAGGATTAGCAAAGATGTTCTTGTTTTTTTTTTTTTCTATCAGTGATACTAGTTGCAATATTACACATTCTACACAATTTTATTTTTATTGTATATTTATAAACACTAGTAAACATTTACAAATAATATTTTTAGTTTAACGTATTAGTAATACAAAACAGTAAATGTACTTGCATTGAATAAAATATATTCACAATAATATATATGGCATTATTGTGTATACTTGTCGCAGAAATATTTACAATACATATTTATACCATAATTGGAAATCATTTTCTTATTCTTTATCGTAAATATTTTTAAATTATTTTCAAATCTTTATCATAATCTTTTTCGTACTTAACATGTCCGGATATTTTAATATTTACAAAATATTTATTGAAAATATTTTTTAAATATTCAAATTTTTATGATTCCGTGGAAATTGGAACGTACTCCGACAGCATAAAATATTTATAACATATTTTTTTAATACTTAATTTTTTAAATATATTTTTTAAATAAATAATTTTTTAAATATGTTATAAATATTTTATGCTGTCTGAGTATGTTCCAATTTCTATGGAAATTTACAGGATTTGTATCAGGCATAGTAAATACCACGGGGGTGGTCCAGTTTGCGGTTTGTGTTTGCGAGTGGATAGACTTTCGGAAATCAACAGAAACAAATGCACTTTTACCAACATAAGGAAATGTACTAAAAAGTTGATAAAAAATTCTGAAAAAATTCTCAAAACTCTATGAGAAGAAAATAAACAATTTTTGTCTCTTGTTATTTTTTTATAAAGTTGATATTGGGTTGCCCGAAAAGTAATTGCCGATTTTTTCATAGAAATAAAATACAATTTTTTTTGTGCATAGAATGAACTGTAATTACTGACATATTTTCCATTTTGTTCGATGACCTTTTGCCATCTTTCTGGCAATTTCATAATTCCACGCTCGTAGAACTTCTGCTTTTTATCAGAAAAAAATTGATCCAAGTGCGATTTCACAGCTTCATCATCCTTAAAAGTTTTACCATCCAAATTTGGACCATGAACGTTTTCGCTTAATATTATCGTAAACAATCCATTTTTCATCACCACTAATTATTCGCTTCAAAAAAGGATCGAATTCATTGCGTTTGAGATGAGAATCGCAAGCATTGATACGCTTTGTTAAATGAATTTCTTTTAATTCATGTGGTACCCAAATATCAAGCTTTTTAACGAATCCAAGACGTTTTATATGATCGTGGATTGTTGATTTTGGTATTTTCAACTTCTCTCCAATCTCCCGCTCAGATATATGACGATCCAACTCGATTATGGTTTTGATTTGGTCATCATCAGCTTGCAATGGCCGACCTGAACGTTGCTCATCTTTGAGTGAAAAATCTCCAGAACGGAACTTATCAAACCAATTGCGGCACTGTCTTTCTTTTAAGGCTTCCTCGCCATATACGTCACGTAACTTTTTAGCAGCCTGCGCTGCGTTTTTTCCTTTGCGGAAATAAAAAAGTAAAATATGACGAAAATGCTCGTTATTGGACTCCATACTAAAACTGACGCCAAACTAACAATTTTTAACAAAAACACGTGTAATTTGCTTCTAAAGTCAACTAAGAGTGACAGCTTACAAACGTCAAAAGAAAAAAATCATAACATTGACAGAAGACATTCAAACAGACGCTTAAAGCCATCTATTGGAGCCATCGGCAATTATTTTTCGGGCAACCCAATAGAATTCGAGTAAAAAAAATGATTGAAAAACCAATAATTATAGTTATTTTTCTAAATATCTTAAAAAATAGAGGTCGTACGAAAATATTTTTCAGACAAGAATTATTGGTTTTTTTTTAATATATAGATTAAAATTCCGTAATAAAAAAGTAAATATAAGTTTTCCCAATTAAAAAAACAAAGTTGACCTTGAAATGACTTTGAAAACGCCCAAGCATTAAAAAACTAATAATGCTATTTTAATTGCTCAAAATCATGGAACACGTATTTCTGCTTTTTTTTTTAATTCATTGTTTTCGAGATATTTCGTCAACTTAAATGGTACGCTCTGTATAAATCTAAAATTTCGTTATATGCAGGTGCGTATATGTATATTGCAGATCATTTAGAGAGCAAAAAGAAACATGAAAATGACGCTACTGCAACAAATTGCGGATTTGCTGAGCTTAATAACAATAGGCATGTGTTTCGTGCTGAAAATTCCGCAGATATTGAATCTGATGTACGTGAAATCGGCCGACGAGATATCCATGTTAGGATTATTTCTAGAATTAACGAGGTAATTCTTCATTCAAACATCGTCCATTTCGTTTTCGCCATTAATTAATCAATCGATTTTCTCTCTTCTAGTTACACTGTAATGACTAGTTATAATTATACGAATGGATACGCAGTGTTATCCTATTTGGAATATCCGATAATACTAATTCAAGAGTATATTTTAATATTCCTAGTCTTGAAATATTTAAACAAAATCAACATGTGGGCCTTTGTATATACCATAATATACTTTACATTGAGTAGCTGTTTGCTATTGGAATTTGTGCCAAAAGTTGTTCTTACATTCTTAGCAGTTAGTATTCTTTTTTTATACTTTTATCACAAAAATAGTCTTCGTTTTAACAAATATTCTTTGATCTTTTTAGCCCATGTGCACTCCGATTTCCGCTTCCAGTAAAGTCATCCAGTTACTAGTTATACTTCGAGCCAAAAATGCGGAGTCAGTGGCACCTCTTACTTGGTTTATATCCGCTTTTACGAACTTGAGTGAGTTTGTGTACAAGGTAATATTTTTCTCGAGTAAATCAAATCTGGTAAATAACTGTATTTTAGCTAGAGTGTTCACGATATGGATGGACTCGGCCGACATGCTGCTACTGGGGAACTTTATTATCTCGGTGCTGCTGAGCTCCAGCGTCATGTTCTCTGCGCTCTACTATAGACGCCGCCTGGTGAAGCAAGATTAAGTGGCAAACAATTTACGCGATTGGTCTAGTTAAATGTATCCTACCAAAGGAAGATGTTAAGAAAGGGCCGATTTTTGCCAAAAAAATATAAGTGAAAGGAATAATAATTTTTGTAGATTCTTATTCCTGACTAAGCTCCTATCAATGAGCGGGCAAAAGCTAGGAGTCGCAATTGGACTGTTAACAGGACACGCGACTTTGAAAGCTCACTTGCATAAAATAAAAATTGAGAAAGACGACGTGTGTGGATTATGCGGCGACAGTGGAGAGGACTAATATGCATGTTCTACGCCCTGCTCTAGCTTATAAAATATATAAATTATGGGATTAGGCTCTTCTAAGGTCCGAAGAACTTTAATAAACAAGACCTAATAATTTGATTCATTTGGCCTCTGATAGTTCCTATCAGAAGCTAGGGCTTAGGATCTAAGTTGAAAGAAAGAGTGTTATAAAAGATCTCCACATCTAAATAACCTTAGGAGCAGTAGTTGATTCATCCACTATAATGCTACTATTATCACTACTACTACTACTACTATTACTACTACACTGCTATTATTACTACTATTACTACTACTACTATTACTACTACTACTACTACTACTACATACTACTATCACCTTCTAACTATGATAAAACTATTAAAAAGTTCGGGGTATTTGAAGAACATCTTGAAAATTGAGCAAAAGCATGGTGTATTTATACAAATTCGAACGATATATGGAATTACTATAAAACGCATGTTTGTGAGTTTTTTTTTGAGGGGAGGGATAGCGTGAGAAGAAGGAGTATTATGTGGTGTGTGTGTGTGTGTGTGTGTGTGTGTGTGTGTGTGTGTGTGTATGAGGGAGAGAGAGAGAAAGAGAAAGTGTAAATAACTGTGTATACGGAAAGGAGGGATTTGGATAAATTATATAAAGTCGGATGAAAACGATTACCATAAAAATGCATCTGGTAAAACTCAAGACGTGTTTGGAGAAGAGGGTTAAAGAAGGAAGTAAAGAGGATTGTGTTTATATTTGTGAGGAACAGGGTTATGCGTGTATAGATCTAGAGAGTTGGGGGTTAAGTTAAATTTAATTTGGTTGGATTAATAGAACACCCCCAAGAATTTATTTCTTTTATTATTTTTATTGGAGAATCCCAATTCATTTAACATTTGATTGCTTAAATTATTAATTGTTTTATGCTACTCAATAAAACAACTAAACTAATTTAATATACAACTTCCCATTAAATAAATTATTAATCTTATTTCTATGCTACGTAATAGAAAGGTTAATTTGATTTAACCTTTTATTAACTTTTTGTATTTTTTAATCTCGTTTTCTGCCGAATCCGGAATTGCAATGAGAATGGGACGAAGTATTTTTTTTCTGTATTTTATTTCTTTTTTATAATTTGCATTTTTTAATTCCTTCCTTATATAAGTTCATTATATTTTATATTTTTTATATTTCATATTTTTTTAATTTTTCCGAAGCTTGGGTTCGGTACAAAATGAGATTAAAAGAAGCAAAATGTTAATAAGAGATCAAATCTATTTTCCACGTAAAGAAATTGATTCCACATAAATTTTACATCAATTTTGCATCGATTCCACGAATGTCCTCATGGAGAATCCCCTTCCCCGCAACATAAAAAAACATAGAGGCACACAACCCTCTTTACTCCCTTCTTTAACTTTCTTCTCTAAATACAAACATTTCTTTAGTTTTATTAGATACATTTTTGTAGTAGTCGTTTTCATCCGACTTTATATAACTTATCCAAGCCCCTCCTTTCCTCACATACAGTTGCTTATATCTTCCTTCACACACACACACACACACACACACACACACACACACACACACACAAAATATTCCTCCTTCCCATTTTGCCTCCAAAAACTCACGAAGATGCGTTTTGTGTGTTTTGTTTTAGCTAAGTATATCATTCGAATTTGTATAAATATATCATGTTCTTGCTCAATTTTCAAGGTGTTTCCCACCACGAACTTTTCAATAGCTTTATCGTAATCAGGAGGTCAAAATCTACAAAAAACACTATTTCTTTCACTTTTTTAGTAAAAAATTGGCCCTTTTTTTAACATTTACGACGATATATTCAGTATTTGTTATTACTGTTCATTATTATTATTGTTATCGCTAAATACTTATCCTATATTTACCTTTTCTGACAATATTGCATATGTCAAATAATGTAAATTACACACACAGTAATTCTTAAATGATTCAAATAACTTTATAAAATTAAAGAGGAGAATTAATTGACAATTATTTTCTTATTTGAAAAACCACCAATTTCATTCCTTTTTCATCGACTTGATCCGCGAGATAATATATTGAAAGAACTATACACGATAGGTACGACGTTATATTCTGTGGAAACATACACGGCGCGCGCATCTGAAGGATATCATGTGGTTTTGATTTACGTGGATCATTCTTTTGGATCAGTGGTCTTCAAAATTCTACTCTATTCTGTTGTTAAATTGTCTTTACAAGGGAACAATGATGTTATAAATCTTTCAACAAGGATATTATAAAATTTTCAGAAACAAACTTGCATCTCCAGAAAATTTCTGTTTAGCATATGTGTATGTAAATATAAATTTACTTATATAACCTTATATTTATAACTATATTTATATAAAGAGAATATAATAAAAGTATCAATAATAAAATCAATACATAAAAAAATTATTATAACGAAATTTCTAGAAAAGTCATATCTAACTATACAAATGTTAATTTTCTATATCAAGTAGACGCTACAAACTAACTCTGTATTAATGACACGCAATCAGCAGGATACAAAAGCTCAGCGAATCTATGCAGAGCTGCGATTTGAAGACCACTGATCCATTCCACCCCCACCGGACCCTCCTCATCTGGCGAGTCTCCGGCGCGCTGGATGAAACACGGTCCGAATAGTCAGCACCGAGAAGGCGCGCAGGCATCATAATCGTCAGTGTCTCTCTCGTATAAGAGAGCGAGAGAGCACTAAAGCGAGGTGGAAGGCGTGTAGGGAAGACGAGTGCGAGGAAGCAAAAAGAGAGAGGAAGAGAGTGTAGGAATTTCTCAGGAGAGAACTTGAGAAGGTGTCGATTTTCTGTTGCTGGCGGGATGCGGTCATTGGCGATCTTAGTCGTTCTTCTACTGGTCGTCCGGCTGTTCAGGTGCGAGATTCTGACGCCACCGTACTTCAACCTGGCTGAGGGCAAGGAGATCGTCGCCTCGGCTACATGCGGCGTCGACACCACTGGTCCTGAACTTTATTGTAAACTCGTCGGTGCGAACGCGGACCAGGACGAGGATATCAACTTGATTCAAGGACAGGTGAGTTCGATTCTACCGAAAGATGTCCGAAACATATATAATAATTCATGGTACAGTGCATAATGTTTAAAAAAATATCCGATAAGTTATAGTGAGTTTCATTATCAAAACTGAGACAATTTAAATTTAAATAAAATTTTTTATTATATACAACGAGAATGAGAGCGGAACATTAGAAGAAAAAAATAATTTCATTATTGAAGGAGGATAAATGGATTAAAGGGAAGAGAGAATTTTATATATTTTCTTGCGTCCCAAAACTACATTTAATATATAAAATACAGCGATATTAACGCAAGCAACGAGAGAACGATTCGTTCTATATTCTCGCGCGTTAAGAAGATCGTGATATTTTCATCTCCAATATTTGTACTGAGTTTTATCTACCATTCAATTCTGTGAGTCCAAGAATTTACTGACTTCGAAACATCAATCTGTTTATTTAACTATTTCCTCTCCTTTTCCTTTTCTTTCGCATAGAAAACTATATGTGTCGAATAAATATTTAAAATTATCTGCCGAATGCAACTCTCGCTATCTCTTCTACTGTTTCAAAACTACGATAAGGGAGAAATGATCGCCTATTACTCTAAGATGCATGAATGAGACTGTTCGTAAAAAATTGTTTTTTTTTATTAATTGAACGTCAAATACAAAGAAGTTCATTAATGCAACTATACTTCCCTTGTTATAAATTGTAAAGAACTTTGTCACACATTATTGTACAATCGCATGCGATGATATTCTCAATCTTTTCTTTCATCTTCGATTAAGATTCACAAACATTTAAGTTAAAAAAGCAATTATATTTAAAGCTAAGGAAAGAAATTAGGAATTTGAAGAAGAAAATGAGATTTTACGATAGAAACGATAGTCTTGCAAACATAACAAAAGTTACCTGGATATGAGAAATTAGTTAAGATAGATAAATGAGTAACAAATACTTCAATGTCATATATGTGTTATATCTAATCAATATAAGTAACAGAGATGCAATTTTTATCTGAACTATTGGTCTAATTTAGTAAGAAAGTCTCTTTATGGAACCTATTTAGATTAAGACCAGTTACACTTTTTATTAAAAATTAGTAACAAGTCCTAAATTTTACCACAGACAATTTTCTAGCAGATACAGAATACAGCGATACATTTTATTTGTGACATTTTTTTTAGAATTCTAACTGGATCAGTAAAACATTTCCCTAAATATGTTCCCTGAGTGTAGAATTTCTATGTCATTTTTGAGTGCTCTAACGGATCACGGTTGTATTGCTGTAAAATAATTTCCAATCTTGAATGTTCTTTTGAAATTACAGATCAGCATTCTACTAACGTGAAAAGAATTTGTCTATGAGTCAGAGTAAAGCTCAACCGCGATTGCACGTTTTCCTTAAGGTTGGATCTACAATAGGTATACAATAAGCCTTTAACCTTTTGTAGTGCTTTTCTAAGCATTAAATTATAACAATTTCTGATAAAAAATATTTCCAGCGCTATCAGACGTTGCAATTCATAAGATTAAATGCCATTATTTTTGACGGCGCGAGAAATATCTTTTCGGAATCGCATTACATTTTGTTGCTTAGAGCAAAAGTCTAAAGGCTTATCACATCTATTATAGATCTGGATTAAGGAAGATCCAGCCGAGAGAATCAATTTATACGATCTATTATTGTTCTCAGTACGCGATAGACTCGCAGGATTGACGTCAAATTTCCCGCAGTAGTGTGATTCTTCGCAGTTCAACCGAAGATATACGTCGTGAATCTAACATGTTTATTACGTTAACATATGCAAATTATTAATAATGCGTTAATATTACCATGTGTTGGTATAATTCCTATGCAATATTAATAACGTATGATTTGTCAGGTCTGAAAATTTTAACTTACACTCGTCATTACGAAGTGTCCTGCGAGTAATGTCTCATTCATATTCATGTTTTAATTGCTGCTCGAGCCGCGATATGAGAAAGAGGCGACCAGGCGCACTGGTCCAGTCCTTTCTGGACTATTAATATTTAGATTACGACGCTTTAATTCATAATGTTGCCATCGTATACCTATCTCGGGCTCAAGCAAAAGGAAACACTGCTTAAACTAGAAACGAGAGAACCGATAATATGTAAGATAAGGGTGACCCCTCGATAACATGCAATCTCGTTCGCGCGTCCGAAATTGAGACGCTCCTTATGAAGTTTATGACACGAATGGCTTATATAGATTTCTGAAAGATCCTCATCCTCCCCAGCGTTTGAACTGTTTCTTGAAATTGTTCTCATAAGTACGAGATAACAGAATGAAGCAAAAATGAGATTTCTTAAGAAGAAACAGTTTTCGTTTACACTTATCAAACTTAAAATACGCGCAACTCGATAACGTACTAAAATCGAAAAGAAAACGGCTGTATTCAGCAGAGAAAGCAGCATTGCAACTGTTGTAAAATTCGTGAATCTGATTGGTGTATGTTCTTAATTTTGGTTGAATCCAAGAGCATATACTAAGATTCATGAATTTTGCAACAGTTACAAAACTGCTTTCTCTGTTGAATGTAGCCAATGCTTAATCATGGCTTCTTAGGCTGCGTTCGGAGATCACACTATCAGCATTAACGCGTAATTTTATTTTTGTTCCACAGATATATGACAAGGATAGAATTAGCGCTAATCGGCGTTAATAGCGCGTTCCTTGAACGCAACCTTAGTAAGAAGCCTTTAGTAAAAAGCCTTTAAAAAGAAGAATTAGTAAGAATTCCATATAGCACAAAAGCTTGTAGTAACATTGCATGTTGCAGTGTGATATTTCAAAGATATTATTTTGCAACATTACTTCAATAATGTTGTAGCAATATTTCAAAACATTGTTAAAATAGTATAATATTGTAATATGTGATCGGTGCGTATATTACGAGTTATATTTCGATATTCGCTATTAATATTGAAAATTTATATTAATATTACGTACATTGAATTGGATTATCGATTATATTCCAAACTGCATTAAAAAAAGAGTATTTAACTATTAAACTATTGTGTTATACTATTTTGAAATATTATTTATTCATCTCACATATTATTATTTATTCATCTCGCATATTATTATAAATAAATATATATGTATTATAATTCAAACTATTATATTTATGATTAAAATACCACACACACACACACACACACACACACACACACACACACACACACACACACACACACACACACACACACACACACACACACACACACACACACACACACACACACACACACACACACACACACACACACACACACACACACACACACACACACACACACACACACACACACACACACACACACACACACACACACACACACACACACACACACACACACACACACACACACACACACACACACACACACACACACACACACACACACACACACACACACACACACACACACACACACACACACACACACACACACACACACACACACACACACACACACACACACACACACACACACACACACACACACACACACACACACACACACACACACACACACACACACACACACACACACACACACACACACACACACACACACACACACACACACACACACACACACACACACACACACACACACACACACACACACACACACACACACACACACACACACACACACACACACACACACACACACACACACACACACACACACACACACACACACACACACACACACACACACACACACACACACACACACACACACACACACACACACACACACACACACACACACACACACACACACACACACACACAGAGGGGGAGAGAGAGAGAGATTCATTTTTAACATAATATTTATAATATAATATATAATAACTTGAAATCATGACATTATACAATTCTAAAACTTCTGCTAATAAATCTATGCGTTTTAGATTGGTTTAACTTTATATATTAAGGCTATTATGTTAATATGTACGAAGGTGATTTGATAAGTAACTTGGTTTGATATTAAAGATAACAATTTGAGTTTTGTAATATAGTTCATTTTTCGACATTCTCTAATAATTTTTACAATCGTGAATTAATACTAATAATGAATCAATATTAGTAATGAATCAATAATATGACTGCGATTTAGCTTTACATTCTTATAAAATGAATATTATTTAATATATTTTCAATATTTTTTAATAATTATTATTCATGAACCTTTAAATATCTTTTTTCATTGAAATAGGCAATAACAAATTTTTTAAATTAATATCTTTATTCATTAATGACAGAAATACTGTCATAATAAGACACTTAATGTGCTTATTTCGATTCTTAAATATTTTTTAAAATTTTTGCTCATTTTTTTCAAAAAGTAGCGAGTAAATCTATATTTACAATATCCCTAAATAATAATGAATCAAGGAGCAATTAATGATATGCTATATTTCGTTTATAATAGCGACTTTTAATTCTAATGGTTCCAGGTGATTGTTTACGTAATAAAAAAAAATGACTTCCCGAGTTAAGCATTTTCTTCTCAATATTTTGGGTCTATTTTCTATTGCTGCATTTGTTGCACTAATTTACACTGGTTCTCAATTCCTCTCTTTCTTGAGATTTGGTGGGAAAGAGAACTAATGCAGCCAGTGCAGCAATAGAAAACAGATCTTTTAAAACGATATCGAGATGTGTACAATATTCGCGTTTTTCAGGTTTTGATAAATGTCAACGAAACATGTTTTTTCTGAGGAAATTTCGTTTTTACTTCATTTTATTATCTCATAAAAAGAGTATATTTTCAAAATTAGAGTTTATTCTTTATAAGCGCATAATATTCCTAGAATATTATATGAATATTATTAAATATTAAAATAATATTCTTATAATATTCTAAGGAAATTATGTAATATTTTTTTATATTATAGAAATATTTTTTAATATTATAGTAATATTTAATATTATAGAATATTAAAAATAAAATAAAATTATAATAATATAAAAATAATATATATATATGTACAGGGTGTTTCAAACTAATCTCAGTTGTGTGCAAGTAAATCGGGTAAACCATAGCAGAAAAGTAATGTACTGTTTCGCAAAATTTGCAATAGTTAGTGAAGAATTAATTATTTTGTCTGAGTTAATGGACGCACGGGAAAAGATAGACCAGACATTGTATAAAGAAAAATGGCTTACTTCTTATCTCCTAGCAATGATGAGCGTCAACTGATTTCTAAAGGCGGCATATGACACAGGATTGTGGGCCAAAAAGAAACACACCTCTCGTTACCAATTGATACTTATTGTTACTAGGGGATTTCAGTAGTAAGCTGTTTTTTTTATACAGAGTCTAGCCTACACTTTCCCGTGCACTTATTAGTTCAGGCAAAATAATTAATTCCTCACTAACTATTGCGAATTTTGCGAAATGATACGTGACTCTCCAATAAGCAAGAAACATTAAATCAATTTTTTGAAACATTGATTTTATGTGGATTTTATAAACATTTTGATATCATATTTTATAAATGTTCTTAAACGGTTATAATATGATACTACTAAATATTAAAATCATATTATTTAAATATTATTTTTAATGTTTGGGTCAAATATTATTAACAATGATATTATATACAACATTAAGAACTACATATATGAAAATTTTACATGTTATAAAATATCATTGTAATAACGTTGTATTAATGATTTCCTGTTTATTGGGTTTTGCTCAGTTTTACCCGTTCTAATTGCACACCACGGAACCGAGATTAATTTGGGACACTGTATATGTTATATACTTGTATACATATATATATATATATATATATCCTCTTTTTTTATTATAAAATACATTTTTGCACAAAATTATTTCGACTTTGTTTATATAATAAATTATAGAAGTGATTAAAAAAATTATATAATAGTTTATCGACGTCGGCGTTTATATAATAGTTTATATAATAAAATATAATAAAACAGTTAATATTGCAATACATTTTAAATGAAAAACTATAATTATATACATAGAATTGAATATTTAAAAAACATGTAATATTACAATAACATTAAATAATATTATTTTTTTAATATTATTAGGGATAGACATATGATTTTCTATCATTATTCCAGAAATATTACTTAATATTAAATAATATTACGCGCTTATAGGGTTGGTTGATTTATTCTTTCTTTTCTCTTATGTGCGACTATAAATCTTGTCTGTTCGTAGGTATGTGATTACTGCGATCCTGATATCCCCGAGAAGAGACATCCGCCCGAATATGCAGTCGATGGCATGGAGACTTGGTGGCAATCACCGCCATTGTCCAGAGGAATGAAATACAACGAAGTGAATTTGACAATTAACCTGGGACAAGTAAATTCCTATTACATAAAATTTAGAAATTATTATGAGTTATATACCGAGATCTTTAAAGTACATTAAAAAGGAATATATGACCCAGAAGCAATAGGAAATGATGAGACATGGCGGTCTTTTATCAGCGACATAAACATTCTATCATTTATGTAGTAGGCGTTTTCCTGCAAGTGGGAAGATTTATCGCTGGCTTATTTCCGGAGAACAATGAAGAATCCAACTTTTATCCATTTCGAATCTTATCAATACATTATTTAATTTCTACTATAAATTAATTGTGTACTATATATATAGTACTATATATATATAGTACACAATATATAGTACTATATATATATACAATATATAATAGTTTATATAATAAAATATAATAAAACAGTTAATATTGCAATACATTTTAAATGAAAAACTATAATTATATATATAGAATTGAATATTTAAAAAACATGTAATATTACAATAACATTAAATAATATTATTTTTTTAATATTATTAGGGATAGACATATGATTTTCTATCATTATTCCAGAAATATTACTTAATATTAAATAATATTACGCGCTTATAGGGTTGGTTGATTTATTCTTTCTTTTCTCTTATGTGCGACTATAAATCTTGTCTGTTCGTAGGTATGTGATTACTGCGATCCTGATATCCCCGAGAAGAGACATCCGCCCGAATATGCAGTCGATGGCATGGAGACTTGGTGGCAATCACCGCCATTGTCCAGAGGAATGAAATACAACGAAGTGAATTTGACAATTAACCTGGGACAAGTAAATTCCTATTACATAAAATTTAGAAATTATTATGAGTTATATACCGAGATCTTTAAAGTACATTAAAAAGGAATATATGACCCAGAAGCAATAGGAAATGATGAGACATGGCGGTCTTTTATCAGCGACATAAACATTCTATCATTTATGTAGTAGGCGTTTTCCTGCAAGTGGGAAGATTTATCGCTGGCTTATTTCCGGAGAACAATGAAGAATCCAACTTTTATCCATTTCGAATCTTATCAATACATTATTTAATTTCTACTATAAATTAATTGTGTACTATATATATAGTACTATATATATATAGTACACAATATATAGTACTATATATATATACAATATATAATAGTTTATATAATAAAATATAATAAAACAGTTAATATTGCAATACATTTTAAATGAAAAACTATAATTATATATATAGAATTGAATATTTAAAAAACATGTAATATTACAATAACATTAAATAATATTATTTTTTTAATATTATTAGGGATAGACATATGATTTTCTATCATTATTCCAGAAATATTACTTAATATTAAATAATATTACGCGCTTATAGGGTTGGTTGATTTATTCTTTCTTTTCTCTTATGTGCGACTATAAATCTTGNTATATATATATATATATATATATATATATATATATGTGTGTGTGTGTGTGTGTGTGTGTGTGTGTGTGTAATTTTGACATATACATATCTAATTTTAACAGCTGTCTATCTATTGCACATGTTTGTGAATCATAGGTTCTATTCGTCATATTTTTTGTATATTTTAAAATATGCAAGAGAAAATTGTTGCAACTGTCTTGTGACTGACTGTACAATTATATATGTGAAAATTGCTAGATCTCACGGAATCAATTATATTTGTGTGTAATTTAATTTATGCGAATTAGTTGTTATCAGGGGCACAGTCTGCTTTCCGGGCTGTGTAATGCTTGTGATATCTGACGTTCTGTCGCTAATCATTTTTGAAAGGTTCATTTGCCTTTCATCGTTTCATCTTATCTGCTTTTTTCTACTTCTCCATCTTCTCTTTCTCTCCTTTCTCGCATCTTGTATTTTTTCATCCGTTAATAAAATTTGCTTGCGTAAGATCTTTCCGATATGCCGTCTCTCTTTCTCATCACTCTTAACATCTTATTCCTCTGTCTATTATATTCTTCAATCTTTCAAAAGACTATTGTTCTAATTATTCTAAACTTCTTCTTTCTCTATCTTTTGTCTCCTCTCTTTTTCGACTCTGATAGTCTGTATGCTTGAGATCTTGATGGACGTTCTTAGAACATCAAAATCTTGCATAGTGCGCATTTGGCATTCACTCTTTGAACTTTACTTCGAATATTATTTTCTTTAAAATAATAAAAACGCCTTTTCACACGGTTTTGTGAGCTCGGACAGCAAAATTCATTAGATATAGCGGGTTTTTTCTGTAAAACCTCCGTGGAAAAACTGATAACAATTTTTTCGATCGAAATGAATTGATTTTCTATATTATATATTTTTATATCTTCTATATTTTCTTTTTTACTCTTCTCATAGGAATTCCACGTAGCTTACGTTTATATACGAATGGGAAACTCGCCCCGGCCAGGACTTTGGGTACTGGAGAAGTCTAAGGACAACGGAAAAACCTGGTCACCCTGGCAGTACTTCTCAGACTCCGCCAGCGACTGTCTCACGTACTTCGGTGTGGATAGCCATAAGCCGATCACTCGGGACGACAGTGTGATTTGCACAACCGAATTCTCGCAGGTGGTCCCGCTCGAAGGTGGCGAGATCCCAATATCGATCCTGAACAACCGACCTTCAGCGAAGTACTACTTCAATTCGACTCTGCTGCAGGAATGGACGAGGGCAACCAACGTCCGCTTCCGCTTCCTCAGAACAAAGAACCTGCTAGGCCACTTAATGTCTGTCGTTCGTCAGGATCCTACCGTCACCAGAAGAGTAAGTATAATCAGCCATTTTTGTATTTGGAAATTCTTTGTCTGTATTCTGTAATAAATTGTCGATCTTTACGTTAAAAATCGATGACAATTCGAGAAAATTCTTTTTTTAGAATGCGAAAAACATTCTGATAAACAATGCTCTAAACGTCACTTTGCAATTAAATTCTTATGAAAGATATATTTTATAATTTAATTTCTGAAAAATGGCATTTGCACATTGCAGTATTTCTACTCGATTAAAGACATTAGTATCGGCGGCCGTTGCATGTGTAATGGACACGCGGACACCTGCGACGTTCAAGATCCCAATATGCCAAAGAAGCTGGTCTGTCAGTGCCAACATAATACCTGTGGACCTCAGTGTGCGACGTGTTGCAAAGGCTTCGAGCAGAAGAAATGGCGACAGTCCACGGCGTCCAAGAAATTCAAATGCGAGCGTAAAAGAACACTTTATCTCTGGCACACATGTTCCTGGATCAATTGTTAACGCTTTTTGATTCACGATAAACATGGGAATATTTTGCAGCTTGCAACTGCTTTGGACACTCGGACGAATGCATCTACGATCCGGAGACCGACGAGAAGCATTTGTCATTGGATATTTACGACAATTACGAGGGCGGCGGTATTTGTCAGAATTGTAGGGATAACACTGAAGGCATCAACTGCAACCGCTGTAAGCCTAAATTCTACAGGCCACAAGATAAACCTTTGAACGCGACCGACGTATGTCGACGTGAGTAAATCCAGATTTAAGGAACACCGCTAACCTGAACTTCAATTTGGATGAACTTTTGCAAGTGTATAGAGGGACTCAAGACATGAATAATGATATGCTTTATTTGTGTCTTATCATCTTTTACAAATATGATTTTAATTTGAAATTCAAAAGAGCGCTTCTACTTTTTCCGGTAGTTTTAAACTATAAAAAAATAAAAGAAATGTTTACAAATAAAAGTTTAATGGTAAATTAAGGGCTATAAAATAACATAAACAGAAATGTAAATAGACATTTTTCCTGAAAGAAAATTTTTAGAAAATTTTTGTGAAAATTTCAGTTTGTCACATTGTAGCCACTAAGCATTTTTTTTCTTATGTAATTTATTTAGAGTTATGCGGAAAAGTGGAAGAGCCTTTTTAAATTTCAGATCGAAAATCATACTTTTAAACGGCGATAGATTTACAAGAATGAAAGTATATCGTTATTCATGTCTTATTATTTTACATACTTACGAAATGATTTAAATCAAAGAGTTTAGATTCGCGGTGTTTCCTTGTAAATTAATCTTGTATTTTGAACGTTAGAGATTTTACAACAGACTCGTTGCGTGTCTAACTAGCTTGTAACTGCGATTACTTCTATTCAACTGGAAATTGCGCGGACTCCACCGGCAGGTGCGAATGCCGAGAGGAGTTTACGCCGCCGGGCTGCGACTCCTGTAACTACGGATACTTCGGCTATCCCAACTGCAGACCTTGCGAGTGTCATTTACCTGGTACCGACGGTTATCACTGCGAAGCGACAGACGGGAACTGTCCCTGCAAACTGAACTATGCCGGTCACTACTGCAACCTCTGTGCGGAGGGATACTACAAGTTTTCCGAATGCTTGCGTGAGTGAATCTCTTCAGTAAATTTTGTCGGTATTATCTCTGTCGGTCTTCTCTGTGCGAATAACTGGAATCTTACATCGACTTTTACGATCTTAGCATGCGGCTGCAATCCCCTGGGTGCCCTCAACGCTCTTTGCGACGTGATGTCCGGTAATTGCACATGCAAGAACAACTACGGTGGTAGAACGTGTAATATTTGCGAGAATGGCTACTTCAATTATCCTTTCTGCACATGTATGTCGAAATTTTCGAAGTACTTTGGACACATGTAAAAATTTCGATCACAATGTTGTATATTGTTTGACTTGTAGATTGCAACTGTGACCCTCGCGGAACCGAGCCAGGCATTTGTGACAAGCAGGACGGTGTTTGCTTATGCAAAGAAGGATACGGTGGTGCCAGATGCGACGTATGCGTCTCCGGATATTATGGTTACCCCAATTGCAGACCGTGCAATTGCAGTATTGTCGGCTCTTCTAGCGTCAGCTGCGATTCCGCGGGCAAGTGCTCATGTCTCGCCAATTTTGCCGGCAGGACCTGCGATCAGTGTAGTCCAGGATATTACAAGTACCCAGAATGCATTCGTACGTAATTTGCGCTGGAGCTTTCCACCATTTTATTAATTTTTTGAATGTTATTATTATTACTTATAGTATTGTCATAATTCCAATTTTAGCGTGCAACTGTGATAGTCATGGCTCAATCGGCGTTTCCTGCGACGGCGAGGGCATATGCCAATGTCGTGAGAACTTTGATGGCGTCCGATGCGAGCAGTGCAAAGACGGCTACTACAACTTTCCAACCTGCGAGGGATGCAATTGCGATCCAGCTGGCATAGTTGCGACTTTCCAAGGCTGCGGTTCTTTGCCGCCCGGCGAGCTCTGCCAGTGCAAGAATCGGGTCGAGGGCAGAATATGCAATCAATGCAAGCCGCTCTATTGGAATTTGCAACCTTACAATCCGGATGGATGTGAAAGTTCATGTTTATTTTGAGAATTCTCTTTATCCCCCCTTCCTCTCCCCAGAGGGATATATATATATATATTAATATAGCATTCTATGGCAATTTTACGGGTTTTATATATATATATATATATAATTATATTTGCATTTAAGAATGCCAATGTAATCCTTCCGGAGTCATCGGTGGCATCGGTGAATGCGACACTAAGACTGGACAGTGTATATGTAAACCCGGCGTAACTGACAGAGAATGCAGCCGATGTGTTGACGGAACTTATAATCTTGAGGAGAGTAACGTCTTCGGCTGTTCCGGTAAGTTAATCCTTTCCGCTCTGCAAAATTTTATCTCTAACGTTTCTTCGCGTTCTCTGATTAGACTGCGCTTGCGACGTCGGCGGTTCTATAAGCCCGATATGCGACAAACAGACCGGTCAATGCCCTTGCCAGCCGAGAGTGACTGGTTTGATGTGCAAAGAACCCCTGAAGGCTCATTACTTCCCCACTCTTCACCAGTATCAGTACGAGGCCGAAGACGGCAAAACATCAAGCGGCAGTCGAGTTCGCTACGGCTTCACGGAGCACCTTTTCCCGGGCTACAGTTGGAAAGGTTACGCTGTGTTTTCCGCTCTGCAAGATGAGATAGTGCTGGGCATCGATATCAGCAAGTCCTCCCTCTACCGGATGGTCTTGCGCTACGTGAATCCCAACAATGAATCGATTCTTGGTATTATCATTATTACTCCGGATAATCTATCCGAAGTGGAGCAACAATTTAAAATAAACTTTAAGCCATCCAGCCAACCATCATTCTTGACAGTCGCTGGAATCCACGGCAATCAGCCATCGCCCATGGTGATGAATCCCGGGCATTGGTCCATCAAAATCACTACGAAGAAGAGTCTATTTCTCGATTACTTCGTCTTGTTGCCGTCCGAGTACTACGAAGGTACTATACTGACGCAAGACGTGAACATACCCTGCAAAATCGGCTACAAAGAACTTTGCAGACACTACGGCTATCCGAATCTAACGCGATTCGATTCAGTCCGCGGTGCAGGCGGTTTTATCATCGAGGACAACAATAGAATCTCGTTGACCGATCTATTGACCGATCACGAAGTTTTACAGGAGATCGAGGAGAATGAGATACCACTTATTAACGACCAGCAAGAAGAAATTCACTTCGAGCTTAGGATCAGTAAACCTGGTCCTCATGTGCTCGTGGTAACTTATGTAACTCCACGCGACGAGCAGGCCACTTCAGTCCTACTAATTGAGGCCGATACCATTGGCAAGGGTAAAGCTACTTTGAATCCCTGTAGATACGCTAACTCTTGTCGACAAGTTGTCACCGATATCTACGGCAAAGTGGCTATTATGAACTTCCCATTCAACTACGTCAGCTTAGTACTGCGATCGACCAACAATCCGACTTCAAACGTCGGTATCAACTCGATAGTGGCCATTCCTTATAGTCAATGGTCATTGGACTACGTGAAACCAAAATCCATCTGCGTGAGGAAAAACAGCAAATGTGTGCAAGGACTTTTCCCTGATGCTGACGCTAAGAAAATCGAATTTGAAATACCCGGTGTACTTGAGGCCAAATATCGACCTCCTGGTATCTACGATAACGCTACTAAATTGATCTACCTGGGTGGCGATAGTAACAGCGTGGATATTCGCGCCAAAGTGCCTCAACCAGGAGAATATATTTTCGTGATGCAGTATTATCAACCGGACCATCCTCAGTTCAAGCTGGAGATGCTGGTGCAGAACGGTAAGTTTTACGAGGCAGAAATCCCGGTACCACATTGTCCTAGTAACAGTGGCTGCCGCAGCATTGTTCGTCAGACAGACGGTGGCGGTACCACGTTCCAGCTGATCGAGAATTTCGTGCTGACTTTGAAACAGCCTGCTGACAATCGTAGCATCTGGTTAGATTATATGCTGGTAATACCGGCGGATCAGTACAACGAAAAGATCCTCGGTAAGCTGCGGTTCGATCAGACAAAAGAGTTTATCAAGCGCTGCGGCAACAATCATTTCCACATCAATGTTACTGAGGACGGCTTCTGCCGCGATTCTAGTTTCTCGTTGACGACTAATTACAACAACGGTGCGCTGCCCTGTAATTGCATCATTGATGGTTCTACCAGCCTAGAATGCGAGAAATTCGGTGGCCAATGTCCCTGCCGACCGAACATCATTGGCCGGCGCTGCGAGATCTGCAAGACCGGCTTTTATGGCTTCCCTCGATGCAGACCTTGTAATTGTCCTACGACCGCACTGTGCGAATCCGATAGCGGTAGATGTATCTGCCCACCCCGAGTCACTGGAACACGATGTGACCAATGCAAAGTCGGTACTTACGGTTTCCATCCTATCATCGGATGCGAAGAGTGCAACTGTTCGCCTCTGGGTGTTCTCGATGGTGATTTACAATGTGATTTACTCGACGGTAGCTGCCCCTGCAAGGAGAACGTAGTAGGCCGTCAGTGCGACCGTTGTCGCGCCGGCTATTCGCAGTTTCCGCATTGCGAGCGCTGTGACTGCGACTTACGTGGTACCACCGGCGACATCTGTGACCAGTATACCGCTGAATGCTTCTGTAAGATGAACGTGCAAGGTCTAGCGTGCGACGTATGTCGCGAAGGCACTTTTGACATCCAGGCGTCGAATGAGGATGGCTGCACCAAATGTTTCTGCTTCAGCAAGACCACCAGATGCGCCTCTGCAAGCCTCTACTGGACTTACCTGATAGATATGGAAGACTGGGAGCTGGTTCAGCCCATTGACAAGAGCGGCAACTTTACCAATTTACCAACATATCCTGACTATGTGAACGCAACCACTATCGTTGCTTCTCTTCCTACCAATGACACCTTCGAGAACGTCGTTTACTTCTCGACACCGGACACCTACCTAAACAAAAAGCTGACCTCCTATGGCGGCTACTTCAACTACACTATACATTACAGCACGGGACCTTTCGGCAAAGCCATCAGCGCCGTCGACGTGATTCTTCAGGGCGCTGACACTACATTATTTTATTACTCTGAGGAACAGCCACCGTCATCCGTGAATTTCAGAGCATCCATCCGCCTCGTTGAGGCCAATTTCCTCACTGTCAATAAACTCAGTGCTACGAGAGAACAGTTGATGGTGGTTCTCGAAGATCTACATAGAATATATGTACGCGCTACATACTGGAACCCTAGCATCTACGTCTGGTATGTATCTTCAATTTTATGTTTGATTTACATCGAAACCTCTAAAGATCAATGTCTTTTTTCTATATCAAATATTTCTTTAGGTTATCATACGTGACTCTGGACGTCACAAAAGAGCAATATTCGGCTCAGTACAGCGTTCGGGCTAGTAGCGTAGAACAATGCCAATGTCCACCTAATTATCAAGGACTATCATGCGAGGAATGTGCTCCAGGTTACTACAGAGTGAGATCGGGACCACACGGCGGATACTGTCTGCCCTGCCAATGCAATGGCCACGCAAACACATGCGATGTAAACACTGGCATCTGCCAGGTAAATTAGAATTTCTACGAATAAAATTTCTTCAAATCTCTGGGACTTTCCTAAATATTTCCCGATTATTTCGCAGGACTGTAGAAATGGCACCACCGGCGACCATTGTGAGTTTTGCGAGCGAGGCTACTACGGCAACGCTACCGTGGGCACACCAACAGACTGTCTGATCTGCGCATGTCCATTGCCGGTTGTCTCTAATAATTTTGCCACTGGTTGTGAGGTAAATGACGAAGGAAACAAGATCAGTTGTGACTGTTTGCTTGGATATTATGGCGCCCGTTGCGAGGCATGTGCCGCCGGCTATTATGGCAATCCTGAAGTATACAGCGACTACTGCAAGCCATGCGAGTGCTCCGGTAACATTGACACCAATCGGATCGGTTCTTGTGACTCCATCACTGGTCAATGCCTGCAGTGTTTGAACAATACCTATGGCGAGGCATGCAATTTATGCGCGCCTGGCTATTTCGGCGATGCCGTGAAACGAAAAGATTGCAGAAGCTGCGTGTGCGACGAATGCGGCATGAAGCGCTGCGACAGCTACAGCGGCAAATGCTTCTGCATGGAGAACGTGATTGGCGAACAGTGCGATCGCTGCGCACCTGATCATTACGGTTTCAGCCGCTGTGATGGCTGCAAAGCTTGCGAGTGCGGCCTTGCATCCGAAAGAAGCCAATGCGACAACGAAACAGGCCAGTGCAAATGTAGGTCAGGGGTTACTGGTCGTAAGTGCGACCAGTGTATTCAAGGATACTGGAACTACGGACTAGACGGATGTACATGTAAGAAAGATTCTGTCAAGGTTTTGTCGAATAACCAGTCACGGTGAATGAAAATCTATATAGATAGATTTTGGATGAAAGTGAAAGAATCATTGCACACTCGTCTTTTTCAGCATGTGGATGTCACACTGGCTACTCCGTGGGTGTGTCCTGCAACACAACGACTGGACAGTGCACCTGTTTACCCGGTGTGATAGGTGAGAAGTGCGATCATTGCCCATATCGACATGTGCTCATTCCGACACAGGGTTGCTTTTCCTGTGGTTCTTGTATCGGGAATCTTTTAGATGTCACGGAAGAACTGACCGATTTATTGGAACATGTTTCACGTGAATACAGTGTAAGTAAAGAAGGAAATCTTCGAACATACTGAATTGCAAGATCAATATATCACTTAACTCATCAATATGTTTGCAGACGGTTGCGGAGGACTACTTTACGAATCAACGATTGAAATTCATCAACGACACAGCGAACGAACTCTACCCCGAAGTTAGAATATTAGATCCAAGCAGAGTAAGCTTCTTACCATTGCAGGAAAAAGTAGGACAATTAGAACACGAAATGTCTAATCAGAAACGACAGATCGAGTTTGCCGTCGAAGATAGTATTAAATGGAAGGACGCTGCGGAAAACACATTGAAGGATATGAGCAACCTAGAAGAGGACGTGGTACGTGAGATTGAGCTAGTAAATCAGATCGTATCTGAGGTACAATCTCTGGCGTCAAATATTGAGCTAGGAACGAGCGCGAAGGTCGACAGCGCTTTGAATGAAGCAAAGGAAATCCTAAAAAAGATCAAGGACGTTTCCTTTGTTAAGTTCCGGGACGATGCAGTAGATCAGGTGGATCAGGCCAACATTCTCGTATCCGAAATGCAGAAGTACAATTTCCCTGTCAGTAATTTGAGTAATGCTGCAATTAATCTTAGCGACAAGATCAGAAACGCCAGTGCCAAGATGTACGATCTGCTGGATATTGCGCAAAAAGTTCAAGATCTATCTAGCACGGTAGACAAATTGAATAGAGAGAACAGATTCGCCACTAAAGCCGGTAACTTTGACGTAGTGAAGAACTCCACACTAGAGGCGAAAGAGGACTTGGAAGCCGGGGATGCACTTAATAAGAATGCTAATCAGTACCTTGTCGACGCGAAAGCGAATATTCATATCCTGTGTGAGTATTGTCGTTCTTTCTTTATTTCGAGACGAAAATAAAAACGATAGAAACAGTGATTTCTTCTTTCAGTGATGAACGACATCACAAGTGCAACTAATCGGTTGAACATCACTATCGCCAAGAACGATCACATGTTGATCGAGTTGACGCAACTGATGCAGAATGCTCATAATCACGCAGAATATCTCTACAACCATTCTCTGGCGTTGGATAATTTGCTGACCGACACTCGCAATACTAATGCAGTGAGGGCCGTTTCGGCATACAGGAATATTGAAACTGCGATCCAAGCTGCGAGGAACGCCGCGGATGAAGCCATGATCGCTTCTGAAAATGCGACGTCGCTGGTACGTAAGGCATTCAGCGTTGATTTTATATAATTTATTTTAATTAATTGACTTTTCCATATTTTTCTATTCAGTCTAGTGGTATTGAACAGAAAATGTTGAATTCCCAAGACGAATGTTACAAGTTGTTAAATTTCGCACGACTCACTTTGGAGAAAACAAAAGGACAGCCTGAAAACGACTTGCGAGACGCGAGAAACAACGCAACCTTCATTGACAAGCAAAACAAACGCAATAAGGAGTTATTAGATAATATCTATAAGTATGACTTCTTTTCGGGAGTATTTTATGATCTTCTAATTAGAATATTATACAAGATGGGGAAAATGTTCCACGGCTAAATATTGGGTGAGTGCAAAAGTGCATGCGGAGTTTGTGAGTAAAAGTCAGACAGTGATTAGGCAAACAAAGTTCTTTATTCAATCAATGATATATTCTCCATCGTTGTCTATAATCTTTTTCCAACGTTCTGGCAGCATACGGATGCCCCGATCATAAAAACTGCGCGGTTTAGATTCGAAGGACGAAGACACGACGCTTTTTAAGGCATCCAAAGAGTCAATTTTTTTTCCATTTAAATGATTTTGCAATGACCGGAACAAGTGATAATCAGAAGGTGCGATATCAGGAGAATACGGTGGATGAGTTAGGACATCCCATTGCAGGCTGTTCAGTTTGCGCAGCGTCTGTCTCGAAACGTGTGGTCTTGCGTTGTCGTGGTGAAAGACTACGCCCTTGCGATTTGACAAAATCGGACGTTTCTGTTTGATTTCTCGATTCAGATTGGTTAATTGGCGACAGTACTTGTCCGAATCAATCGTTTGACCAGCGGGGAGAAACTCAAAATAAATTATGCCCTTGCAATCCCACCAAACACAGAGCATCACCTTCATCGGGTGTAAACCGGCCTTTGCCATTGCTTCACCATGCTCACCTGCCTGTTTCCATGTGCGTTTGCGCTGAACATTGTTGTACAGGACCCATTTCTCATCGCCCGTCACTAATCGATCCAAAAACGGCTCGTTTTTGAGCCGCCCGAGTAAAAAAACGGCAGCAGAAACTCGCTGGATTTTGTTCCTCTCCGTCATCAAATGGGGCACCCATACATCGAGCTTCAAATCGAAACCGATTTTTTTTAAACGCCGAAAAGCGGTTGATCGGTCAACGTTAAGTGCTGTAGCAACTTCCTCTGTTGAAATTCGCGGAGTATTCTGAACTAAAGTTCGCACAACATCGTCATCAATGTCTGAAGGTCGACCTGAGCGTGACTCGTCTTCAAGGTTAAACTGTCCGCGGCGAAATTTCGCAAACCATTTTTCCACAGTTCGTTTAGCTGGTGCTTGATCTTGATAAACCTCTTGAATGTTTTTTACGGCTGCTACAACGTTTATTCCTTTCTGAAACTCGTAAAGCATTACATGCCGTAAATGCACCTTTTCGACACTCATTTTGAAAGTAATCTTTCTCGAAGCAGTCCGTATCTACACAAATTCTTTTGTTTGAAATGAACGCTGCCCACGTCACCTTTCCAACGATATGTCTTACGGAGATGGCGGTATTAATGACAAAACTTTACGCCGCTTTTAACGCCATCTATTGCACCTCCGCACGAACTTTTGCACTCACCTAATATCTTATAAAAAATTTATTGTCGAAAAAAAAATGTTTTAGACGAAGTTTGTGGTTTGATGAGGAAAACAGATGATGACCTTGAATTTTTCAAAAGTGATCTTTTTCTAGATTTATCTTGAGCTCAACTTCATTTTTTTATAGAAGCTTATATTTTTGAGTTCACTAATTGATTTAGTTTTTTTGTCTCTACAGAAAACTATCATAAACTTATGCTTAGAAATTATTAGTTTAAAAGATATTTAAAATTATATTCTTTTATATTTGGATAAAATATAAAATATCTCGTAAATTATTTGTTTTTCGATGAATAATTTACTTAATATTTTTATGTATACAATAATGAGATAAATTAATTAATATAAAAAAAATAATGTGTTTTTGGAAAAATATGAAAATTTTCATTGAAAATTGAATATTTTTTTAGAGATACTACATGCTTTTTTTATGATTGATTCATCTTATTATTCCGTGCGTAGTTTTTCTGTAAAGGAGAAAAACTGCATCAATTAGTGTATCTAAAAATATGATCTTCATTTAAAAAATGAAGTCGATTTTGAGATAGCTTGGAAAAAGGCCACTTTTAACAATTTCAAGGTCATTATATTTATTTATTTTTTTAAGACTACTTTATCTGGAATCTTTTTCAAAAATAAATTGTTTACGAGATATTCAACTATTTCGGAACATTTTCACTACTATATTTTATATTTTTATTTAAACATATATTCTCTCTCGCTCTCGCACGCGCGCGCATTGTGTGCATGTTTTTTTTTCAAATTTACTAATGAAATATAACACATTATATATACAAATTGCAGAACACTCACCAATATTCCTTTACAATCGTCCATGGTTGCACACGACGCTATGAATTTGACGATGAACGTTGAACGTAATATTCAAAGAGCTGTAAATGATATGGACGGCATCGTAGATCATATTCCGGAAGACTTGCGAAAAGCAAAGCAGCTGTCAAAGGATACATCAGAATCGATTCGTGATATTTCGCAAGCGAACAAACAGCTAGACATCGTGGACAAAGTGATGCCGAACATCACCAATTTATTGAATACCCTAAACGAAAACCAGAAATTAATAGACACCACTGGTAAAGATTTACAGAACAAAATCGAAGCCCTGAAGAATAAGATTGCGAATGCCCGGGAACTAGCTGACCGATTCCGATATGGCTTAACATTCTACAGAAACACCACTCTAGAACTGAAGAATCCAGAGAGTCTGCCGTTGTTAGCCACTTCCACCAAAATTTCCCTTTACTTCAGAACCAACAAAACAAATGGTTTTCTACTGTACCTCGGCAATGAGGAGAAGACGAATTTACCGCGTTCTAAAGCGGTGAGTTTGTTAGAATCAGTAGAGACAATTTTTAAATGGAAAATAATAAATAAGAGGATCATACATCGTCAATGTTATATTTTACAGCATGATTTTATGGCGTTAATGATTGAGAGCGGATATCCCGTACTTATAATCGACTTGGGATCTGGACCCGAGAAGATAATTCACAACAAATTCGTATCGGATAACGTGTGGCGGCAGATAATCATCTACAGGTTGGTGATCATTCAATAACACCAATCTATCTTGATATAATTAAACATGAATGTTTCTCAAATACATTTTCTCCTAGGACGGGCAAGAATGTGAAATTGATGATTCGCGAGGATATCGGAGAAGGTCGGGACGAGTTGTACAAGATGACGGGTGTCCTAACAGGCCCTTATTATATCTTCAACGTAGACCGGGAACATTCAAAGCTTTTTGTGGGTGGCTACCCGTCATCTTTCCATATTCAGGATGCTGTGACCGCATCATCGTTTGAAGGCGAAATGGAGGAGTTGGTGATAGGTGATATACCAGTGTCCTTCTGGAATTTCGTTTACGGCGAGAACAACCAAAAAAGCGCGATCGAACGCGACAAGCTCGTCAACTTCCAGCCAAGCACGGGATACCGTTTTGATCGGCACGGCTATGCGATTCTCAGCAAGAAAGATTCACAGATCACACCGGACCTTAGAAAATTCAGCATCAAGCTGGCCTTTAAAACATTCGCTGAAGACGGGTTGATTTATTTGATGGGCAAAGGCAGACAATTCCTGTCGTTGGAAATGAAGAACGGTCGACTATTGTATCAGTATGATCTTGGTGAGGGTGCGATCGTTTTGGAATCCTTGGACAAATATAATAACGGCAGTTGGCATGTCTTGGAGGCTCTCAGATTCGGCGGAAGCGGTGTGCTCAAAGTAGACGGCCACAAAGTAAATGATTTCGAAGCGGTCGGAACTGCTAGGACTTTATCATCTTCGGATCACATATATTTTGGCGGATATCCACCCAACGCGAAGCATCCTTATCAGTCGGTCACCAATAACGGTTTCGAAGGTTGCATCGATAACGTCATCATCCTCGATACTTCGATCGATCTCACTCGCAATGTACAGGCGTTCGGAGTTATTCCTGGTTGCCCAGTGAGGGTAATAAAGCAGTAAAATTACATAGAACATATGGTAGTGAATATAAAAATCTCAAGTTCAAATTCACATATCGCTTGAAAAGTAAAATTTAAGAAATGTAACTATTTGGGCTCTAATGTTTGATCTTATTATTCATTTCGTCAATATCTTACAGTTCGCCAGCTTAGTTTCCTTCGAGAAGAATATGCCCGGCTATGTAAGATGGCAGAGCTTTATGTCAGATGGCTTGCAAGTGAACCTAAAATTCAAGACTTTGGCCAATGACGGATTAATCTTCTACGCTATCGATGATAGCCAAAATACGAAAAACGGTTACCTCTCGCTGGAAAATGGCCGGCTGGTGTTCAACAGCCAAGGCGTCGAATTGTGGACTAGCCCATCGGACGTGAAATTCAACGACAACGAGTGGCATGTGGTAACGGTCACTCAAGATCAATCGGGCCTTAGTCTCGACATCGATGACACGAAGAGTTACACGTCAGATTTACCACCGCCACTTCTGCACTTCTTCCACGGCAACCTGTACATCGGTGGATTGCCATTAAGATTGGATCTCAATGGTACAACTGTACCTTTCGTTGGCTGTATCGGCGATGCAACCTTGAATGGCGAGATCATCATCAACTTCGCCAATTCAACCGAGAGGCCACACGCGTTCTTAGGAAAATGCAAGGGTGGCGATCAAACACGTACGTTGCGACATGGATTGTTTACTATTTGCTGAGTTACATTTTAAATATATTTAGATAGCTCCTAGACACTCGCTGTGGCTATCCTTCTTTGATGACGTCAGAAGCGAGGAAAATCATACCATGGTTGTAACGCCAATGTAATTTCATCGGCGTTTCATTGGTTCAACATTGACCAATGTTGAACTAATGTAGCGCTAATGAAATGTACTACTAAGGTAATAATGCGCGAGCTATCGTGTCGCTGAGTTCCATGCGCATGGTTATCTTTGGCGAGCGAAGTGTGAAATCTGTGGACGATGCTTGAGCACGAGGTGCATAGTCGTCGAATTTGATTCACGGTTCCATTCAGGAAGTTTATGTGAGGGAATGCTGACATAGCGAAGGCGACGTAGTGTCAACCCGAAGGATTGATTACCGCGCTAACGCAGCAGGGACGATGTAATGTCGACCCGAAGGAGTAGGATTGGAGTTTGAACGGTTCGCCGAATACTTCCCGGCAATGTGAAAGCGCGGATGCGGTGTCACTCGCTGTTTTTACTCGCTGTTTTTACTTTCTGTACGTTTTTTAGAACGTCGAAGAATGACTCAATGTGTTGGAGAACTGTGTGTTTTCCGCAGCCCCAGTGAGTTTTTAAACCGTTTTCATTACGGTTTCATATTATTTCGACGGTGTTTTCGTATGCATTCGCGGTCTCTCGTTATCATTTTGGCGCGGATTGTTCCTTCGATCGATTTGAATCTTATCGCGCGCGTCTGTCAGTCTTCTGTCGCATCGCGGCTCAGGCGGAGCGATTCGCGGATATTCGTGTAATAGAAATCATGAAAAAAATGAGTTAAAAATGTAAGTTGCATGTTACATTAATTTATGGCTATTTATTAATTGTTCAGGTTAAAGAAAAGCATCTGGACATTTTTACAAGTGTGTTGAATCGATCACGAGTGTTATTTTGTGCGTATATTCTTTTATTTCCACATATCTTCTTCTTCCATTGGCGTTACAGCCTCTTGTAGAGGCCTAGGCCTACCTCTCTCTTACGTATGCATGTGGTGCACACGCAGATTATACACATGCATACGGGATCTACAGTTTAAACGCCGTATGGCAAATTGGAGAGAAGTTTTCTTGGCATGAATATTCTTGATGGTTTGCCAGACCATCGAAGAGGAGTTCCGAGCATATGAAAAATTTTCTGGTTCTGCCAGGAATCGAACCCGGGACCTTTTATAGCATGGCAGACCGGTGCGCTGTCTACCACGCCACGCTCACGCTCTTATTTCCACATATACCGTCACATAAATTGGCATGATTTTCCTCGCTTTTGACGTCACCAGAGAAGGACAGCCATAATGAGTATCTAGGAGTTTTCATTAAATATCGTTAAATTATCGTTTTGTTTTTCTCTTGGTTTAGTTTTGCCACCAATCATCGAATCCGAACTTCCACCACTGTTGCTACCAACAGAAAGTCCGGAAGAACCAATAGAGCTATCGACTCAGATCAGTAAGAACGAAGAACATATATATTGAGATAAGATTTAGTTTGCAAAATAATATTTATATCTTATATATTACGAATAATTAATTTCTTTCTAGACATAGTAGACATTGATATGGAAAGAGAGGATGAAGATGAAGAACCGTATATGGAAGGTCGAAATAATATTGAAAACGTTGATTTCCTTACCACAACTATACCAACGACGCAGGTTCCAACCGAGCCTAATATTCAAATGGATGACGAATGTCATTTACCATACTATCCGGCTGCAGACCCCGATCTGGAGAATACAGTCTGGCGATTCGGTAAATTTGCATACTTTTAAATAAAAAGAAGTTGAAACTGTTTAAATAGAAATATTAAAACTTTTGAATTTAAATTTACGATATCACAAAATTTCCCAATGATTAACGATGTTTTTTCAGGTATTTTCAGGAACAGCAGATTGCAATACAAGACTCTGAACGAAAGATTCAAAGACAATTATAATTTCCGAATCAACATAAAGACAGTGACCAATGATGGAATTATATTCTACAGCTCCAACTTGAATCAACAAGATGATCCAGACTTTGTTGCCGCGTACATGCTTGACGGAAAGGTAAGGGAAATTTCATTCGCTTCACAGTCACTCATCCTGTCGCTTTAACCATGAAAAATAACGCTTAATGGCAACATCGAAGGTTCACTACAAATTTGATTGTGGAAGTGGAATGATATCCCTGATGAACGAGAAGAAAATCAACGACGACCAGTGGCATTTTGTGATCTTCACGAAGAATGGTAAATATGGTCAGTTGATCGTGGATGAGGAGGCGATTGTAGAGGGATATTCTCAAGGAAATTCTACCATCATCGACGTCAATTCGCCCTTCTTTATTGGCGGAGTCTTACCGCAAATGTCCAGCACTGCGCACATAAATATTGTGAGAATCAGTTCATCGATTTTCTCATTGAAAGGTGTCTTAGAGGGTGTTGCGAGAGCGTGACGAATGTGCATTGTTTTCAGGGCCTCAATAAGACGTTTAATGGTTGTCTAGGAAATTTCATGATAAACGGATACATCGTAGAACCATCGCAGAAAGTAGACGTGATGCCTTGCTCGCAGAGGGTTGAATCTGGTCTTTTCTTTTACCCAGGAAACGGCAGCAACTTATATAAAGCAGGTGAGAAAGTTAATTGAAACATATCGTGCATCTCGGGAAAAAATATCAACACATTCGCTATTACTGTCGTATGTATGCGACGCAACGATCTCTCACGAGAAGCTACTTTGAGAAAAAAATTGTTAAATTGACAAAATTGACAGTCACCCTCGTTAAAAAAAATATTGCATCCACTGAATAAATTACGTGCTAGCATAATAATAGTTATAGTTTGATAAATTGATAACTCATTGCAGCAATTTTATAATTTGTTTAATAGATTAAATATTGTACTTGAAAATTTATCATGTTAGACGAAAAAAAACTCGATCCACGAAGTCATAATTAATTATTAGTCTAGACATGTCGTCGTTTTTCCATATTTTAATTCGGAGAAATCATATATCATATAATCATACTTGTTCGTTAAACTATTTTTGAAAACTTTGCGAATGCACCTAATCTTGTACAAAATCGGATTTTGCAAATAAGGCCCTTGTAAAAGATGTATAATAAATGAAAATACGGATTTGTGCTGCATTCCAGGTCGCGTATTCGTAGCACTTGAAATGTACAAGTCTATATTTTCATTTATTATAAATTTGTAAATACCTAATTGCAAAATTCGGTTCTGACTCTCCTCGGGACATTTGCAAGGAAGACCCCAAAAATTGTTTAGTCAGCAAATATCATTTTTCGATAAAATGTTGAATATATATACGGAAAGTGTTGCTTAGCGACACTTTTCATGGTATGTATTGTTACGTACTGGAAGAGGACGAACGCAACAAAATTGTTTACTCGCGCACTGCCGAGTCCTAAACGTACTGGTAGGTCTGCAGATCAGGTCAAGGTCCGGAGAGGCCCATTTACTCCGATCACAGAACGTACGTTAGGTGGTCCTTTATTTAGGTCAAAGAACTTAATCTCTTTACCTGGGATAGGACAATATGAGTGTGTTGAGAGGGGAATTTAGATTTAGGTAATTAAAAGGAGATGAATAAATAGTTTTAACGACTTGATTAAATTTAGGGCATTTTGAATAAAATAGTTTATTAATAACATAATTTGGTTCTCGGATGGATTAATAATAGTGGTAAATTGATAAGAAAAGTCATTGTAAAAGATACAACATTTAAAAGATGAAAGGGTTAGCTAAAGTTAAACAATGAAATATGTGGGTTAACATTAAATAAATTTTATAAATCAGCATTACTGGAATAACGCAAATACAAGATGAAGATTAAAGTGAGATTAAGAAAAAGGTAAATCGTGTAACTTAATTTAATACAATCGGATATAACGCAACAAGAATGTTTAACATATTGGTATAGCGAGGAAAACATCGTTATATAATACAAAGAAAACAATAATAACGCAGTGCAGGTGTGTGTTTTGAGGGATGAAGTGGGACTGGAAATTGGATTGAAATGATTAAAAGTCATATTTAAATATGAAATAGAAACTTACGATTTAGATGAATCAATAGATTGACGTGGACGAATGAAGACGAAGACGAAGGCTGGACTAGACTATGGCTGTGGACTGCTGAAGACTGAACTAAGACTGACTAACTAAGAACTGACACTAAGAACTGCAACTGTGACTGCGACTGTAACTCTAATTGTAACTATAACTGGACTGGACTGAACTGTACTGGACTTGAACTGGATTGGACTGCGCTTGAACTAAACTGAACTGAACTAGACTGTACTGTACTGTACTGAACAGCAACTGGAACTGTAATTGTAACTGCGACTGTGACTGTCACTGATTAACTGACTGACTGACTGACTGCAAAAAAAACTACTATTGTAACTGTGTTCGCGGCAAAAAGGATAAGGCTTATATAGGAAGGATTTCAGAGGGTGGTGGATGACGTCCACCAATGAGAGGAGGTTACCTGGAAGACGGTTACTCTGGAAAATTCCTAGTATTGACATAAATAATCTTAAAAACCTAATCGCATAGAAGGGCCTTTCTTTTACCGACTGTGTACAAAGGTGGATAAGATCGCAGCCCCATCGGGAGTCTTATGACATATGTGGGCGGCGTGTACTCGTATCTTTTCATAAAGCACTTCATCAAATCTGTTTGTTTTACAATCATAAAAGAAGGAATTCGCTACTATCTAGGTATGGACAGATACGTGCCTAACGTAGAGGCGGCAAGATATCTTAGTTATATAAAAAAAAGGAATCTGTCGTCCCCGGGGTACCCAGGATGTAAATAAACTACATACATTACATGTAGGCGGAAAGGATGATAAATGCATTGGGAACCGTACGGCACGTTTAGCGGCTGCCAATGTAATCTTATCTTTGTTACAGTAGCGCTTGCCCAAAGTCCGTCTGTTTCCCAATCATATAATTAAAAAGAGAAATTCGTAGTTTCTAAGACATCCAGGACGTAACAGTATGTTCAACACTTTATTGACTTGGAAAAATTATATTTGCTCACCAAACAATTTTTTGAGCAGAACAAGACAATATTTATATAACGAATATTAATATAATGTATGTTGGCGAACCAATAACATATCGGGAAAAAGATTATATATAATTATATAAAATTATATATAATTATATATGATCACATGCAATTTATATATGAATTTATGTATGAATTTTGTCTTTATATGACTACATATAATTATGTGTCTACATGAAATAAAAATACTGTTGAATGCAAAATGGAAGAAATATTTTGATTAAGTGTTTACTTCGTTGAACGGCTGTTGTTTTTGAGATAGGGTTTCGAGGCAATGACACTCTCGGTGGTTTGCCAGACCTCGGAGAGGAGACACGAGCGTATGAAAAATTTGTTGGTTCTGCCGGGGATCGAACTCGGGATCTTTAGCTTACCAGTGCACTATCTGTTACGCCACGCTTGCGCTCACCGCGCAATGAATATATGTCAAAAATTTGTTTCTTTAAAAAATATCATATAGAACAGACTTCGAAATGCTTTAAATTTCGAATATTATTTCGTTTCTGTAATATTTCAATTATTTCGACATCGATTCGATGGTTCATCTCTCGCTGGGATTTAATTATTGAATTTTTATAGCTGACAAATTCAACATGAATCGTGGATTCGACATTCAACTGGATATAAAGCCACGTTCGACATCCGGGCATTTATTGTCAGTGCATGGTAAGAGAGACTTCATTATCTTGGAAATGATCAACGGCACTGTCAGGTTACTTGTGAAGGCACATAAAGGCTCAATCGAGACTTCGTTCGTGCCAACGAAGCCAAACTCCCTGTGTGACGGCAACTGGCATAATATTCGAGGTACAGTATCAACGCCATATGATGATTGTTTTAATTGTTATATTCAGAAATTTCAAATATTTAAAAAATTTTAATAATTCTTCGATTAATTTATTGCTAGTGTATCTATGATGTAAATGAGGTATTTTGAAATACTGAAGTTTTCGAGTTTCAATTTTAATTACTAAGTCACGTGATTACTGTTATTCAGGATTGAAAGGTACTTTTGAAAAGTAATTCATTACCGTTATTCGTTACTCATTGAAAAAAAATAATTCGTTTCCGTTATCGTTATTCAAGAAATAACATTACAATTCCAAGAAGAAACATTACAAATCTTTACAATTTTCGCTATTTTTTCACTAAGTTTCGTAGGCCTTTTTTTTAAATTCGTTTATGTCCTTTCCATATATACAATGTCTTGCTATAAGTGACCATCCCCTTTTATTTTCTAAATTAAAAAAGGTAGACCATAATAAATGTATATTGAATTAAATATTTAAATAAATTCTATAGCGAGCATGGTGGTTGTCCATAAAATTTATTTTAGTTAAAGAACAAAGATTACATACTTTTTTACTATAATACGGATATTTTGATGTGATGAAAGTTGTAGCGCTGTTTATAATGAATACAACGATGTTCAATATATTGGAATTATTTTACGAGTTTTACACATTTTGTCGATGTAAAATTTCACGAGTGAATACTATCTTTACATTTTTGGTCTTGCCGTGTGGCTAACTTCCGATTACTGTACATTATCAGTTGACGTGTGACGCTAAATTTGATGTACACTGATTTGATTTTATGTACACTGAATCAGATGACAGAATATATCAGCCGCTAATACAGGAGTCGGAAGTTTATTAACACGTTGACCGCACATCACTCAAATCTGGATGACAGCCATTTTTCCGTGGAGAAAGAATCATTTCATATGTTCATGTCGCTCCGTGATTTCGATCTCAACCGACGGCTGATTACCCATCCACTTCCTAACCACAGTCATTGTTTTTTTATCTCAATAACACAGGCCTACAAGGTTCAGATACAAAAAGCAGAGTAGTAACTTCCTATATAATTTTGGTCGCTGAATCCGAATCTGTCAGCGAAAAATGTTCATCACGTCAGGTTTTTGAGATAAACAGGGTAATATGGGCCAAAAACACTGATTTTTGCCATTTTCATGGTGTTACTATGGCTAACAATATTATGTTTTTAACATTCTCTCAGCGGCATCTTAAAGCGCTATCTTTTGTCTTGAAATTGCGATTTTTTTTATTTCTGTATTTTTTTTCGCCGAGTTATGAAAGTTTGAAAATGGCAACTTTTTGACGGTAAGACTATGGACGTCAGAATTATAAAATTCAAAATTATTATTTTCCTATAGCCTGCTTGGGCTAGATTTGGTTTGATAGGTACAGGAGTTGTTTTTGATCCACCATTTTGAACTTGGTAATTCTGACATCAGATTCGTGTTCAGCGATCCAAAAACCCACGGATACCAAATTTTCAAAATTTACTTAATAATTCACCGAGTTGATTTTTCATAATTTCGGCAGTGCATAGTCTCATTGTCGAAAAGTTTCCATTTTCAAACCTTTATAACTCAGCGAAAAAAAATCGTACACGAATGAAGGTAAAGTTTATTAGGTGGAAGGATGATAAAGTTTCGATGCTTCGGATTGAGTCTTAGTCTTATAAAAATATTTAATAGAATACAGTACAATTTGTCTCACGAATTACGATTTCCGCATTCGTAGCCTCTTTTGGTCTTCCAGAGCGAGGTGCGTCTTCGGTGCTTGTACGACCCATTTTAAATTCACTAAACCATCGATAAACTGTTGTTCTCGAAGGAGCAGATGTGGGATAACATTTCTTCAACCATTTCATTGAATGTTCAGGAGTTTTTCCCATCAAAAAATGTTTGATCAATATGCGATATTCCTGTTTTTCCATTTTTTTTTACGAAGGCAAAGGTAGCGACACTTAAACGACTGTAGCTTGTAAACGAATGAACGAAATGTCATGAAACTTCACATATAAACTAGTGACAGATCAGCCTCTCGAAATAAATCATGTTCATTTTCTAGTGGCGCCACCTACTGAAAAATCCCGGGACTTTTCAGCTCATGTAGTATATTTGAATGATCCTCGTATATGTGTTATCTGAGAAGCAAATGAATAGATAGATTAAATCATTTATTTTATGCAGTAATTAATATAATATGAATTTAAATATTTCAAAAAGGACTATTACAGCTATTATATAAAGAACATTATAATTATAATTATAATTATAAATTATAATTTTGGAGAGGAAAAACAAATATTTTTTAACTGTAAAAACATAAAACATAAAACGTAGAAACTTAATTGCATTTCTTAAATTATGATTTCAAAACCATTTCTGTTTAAACTTTCTTAATGGTTCTTTACAGTTATGAAACTTTGTATACGTTCCAAAAATATACATGAAACCAACATATGCTACTTGGGTTTAGCCTTTTGCTCTAAGCAACGAAATGTAATTTCTGACAAAATGTTTCCCACACTCCTAAGTCGTAACAACGCTTAAATTTGAAAAATTATGACGTTTGGTAGCGCTAGAAATACATTTTGCTAAAAATTACGTTACAATTTAATGTTTAATGTAAAAGGTTAAGAGAGACTTATCACATTTATTGTAGATGCAGATTAACGATAACAGGTACAAGTAAAGATCTTTGCACATAAGAAATTTCTAATCTAGTCAAGCCATAAAAAAATCCGTGAGAAAATTGACCAATCACAATTGATTCTCTTTGCGATCGAAGAATAATCGTTTGTGATAGAGTATAATCAACTGTGATTAAATAATTTACTTACGGATTTACGATTACGATTAAAAATTTCTTACGTGCAAAAGCCTTATATGATACTTATATAATCCTTTATACTTCCTAATCCCCTACTACTATTATATGTTCTTAAGAAGATTCTAGAGTCAACCCGTTTTATCGAAAATTCGTTAGTATTATATTCGTTACTGGTTGCTCAGAATTAAAAAAACTTTTTGCATAATTACAATACACACACTAATGCAGATGAGAGCGGTTGACTTTATTCAAAAAACGAGAAAAAGTAAATTATAAAATTTTGTTCATTTTCCAAATAAAATCTGACCATCTTCATCTATATTAGCGCGTATATTGTAATTGTGCAAAAAGATTTTTAATTCTATGCAACCAGTAATGAATTTAGTTCTAACGAATTTTCAGTAAAACGAACGATTCTAGGATTTTCTCAAGTTCTTAAATAATTTCTCTTAACATTCCCAAGTTACGTCATGTATTGTATTATATTTTCCCTATCTTCTTCACAGCGAGCAAACGGAAGAACGCGATGTTACTATCAGTCGATCATAAAGCAGCGCCACTCGCAATCGTCGACGGCAGAAATATGGCTCGTGTTTTGTCAAAACATCCAGTATTTATTGGCGGACACTCAAGTCTAGGAAAGGGATTGCGAGGCAGCACTTCGCAAGCACAATACATCGGCTGTATCTCCAACATTATGATTAATTTGAACCGCATCGAAATTACGCCCGAGCGAGCTTATGGTCGAGTCCTTGCCGGGGTGTGTCCGACCATTTAAAACGCAATAATCCTTTTATTTTTAGACAAGCTATACAAACTTACACGAAAATCCAACTTTATAGATTTTTCTTTCTTTAAAGTATCGCATTCATTATTCTCTAGTGTTTGATTGAAAGATAACGATTAAAAATAAACATGTAACGAGCGGAAAAATGAACTTATAAATTTATTTGATTCTTTTGAGAAGAAATATTTTTCTCGTTTTCATTAGCGATTGAGGAAGATGATTGTATAGAACGATACAAAGAAACTATTTTAACCAAAGATACAACTTGAAACTCCTGTTTCCTCACCGCAGTCATTTTGATTGATGACATCAGAAGTAAGAAGGTACTCAAAATTTTTGCAAATAAATTAAAATAAAAGGATGTATTCTTAAAATGACACTTATGATAAATTAGAAAGATTTGTGAAATACTCTGGAATCTTTTCTCTTGCCTTAATAATTAATAAGTAACTGTAAAATTTATGTGACACGAATAACCTTTCAACTTCGTGATCATCACGTATTATTTATGGTCCTTTATTAATTAGTGATATGAAAAGTAAGTTTGCGGACTACAAATTTAAACAAATAATAACGTTATTTTATGTGCATATTTTTATTTTAACATATTTTGTGAGAATTTCGATTATATATTTTTTCGCTTATGACATCATCAATCAAGATCACCACAGTAGCGACTGTGAGATTCCGAAAGCTTTAATAAAATATATAAATTATAGAATATATGTATAATATTTTTCGAGATTTTCGAGAGTAATGGTTTTAGTACGCAAGAGGATGTAAGTAAAGAAAAAAGATGAGATATATGGAAGTCATAAGCGTTTTATTTTGTGAATATGTATACACACACACACACGTATGTATGTATGTATGTATATACATACATATACATACATATATACGCAATGTATATTTGTGCGTTATCGCACCCGGCACATCTTGTAAATAAATCCAAATTTCTGTACAATAAGTTCTCAAAAGTTCATTTTTCGGAGATATTTCTGGCTTAGTCTTAATATTGTTATGTCATAAATATCAAAACTCGTCATTCTTAAATAACTTATATCATTTTTCCGTACTAAAAAATGCACGCAACACTGTTTTTTCTCTGACAATTACAATATTCAATCAATTTATCGTTTTAATAATGAATAAACACAATGGTTACGAAAATGTAAACTAAAATGCTGAATGAAAGTGCGAAATGTGTGTCGATGTGACTATGATAAAGTGCGCATTGTACTGCAATAAACGATACATTCAATTGTTAGCTCTAGAATTAGTTCTAGAATAACAAAATATGCGAGTGCAATCGCAAGAAATATATGCAAGTGAGAATCATAGGATCAATTTAACAACAAGATACATTATATTTTTCGAAAAGCAATTCATAAGAATATCATCAAGTAATGTCAAGACTGTAATTCAGAAAATAATATATGCGTATGTAATTATTCAGTTCCCTTTGAAGAAAGAACGAATGTTGGAAGAAATATTCGTTCTTTAATTGTAAAATGCACGGCAATTTTACTAAAAGGATAAATTTGACTAAAGAATTAAATTTATTAAAAGACAATTTTGCAGCAGTTATTATTGATTATAATATTCGGTATTTAATATCTCAAGAGAATATGAGGGAATTTTGCAGCATCATTCACTGAACCACAATGCACACAGCCATATCATTCTTTCTTGTTACATTTGCCAAAAAAAGAAATATAATGCGCGTTGTCCGTTTTAACCGATTTAATCATATTTCTTCCGACGTACGTTGCCGGAACGGAACTTGTGAATTGATCTGCACATTCGAAGAGAAAAAAATAAAAATATAAGGTATATTAAATCGCTTACTGATACGTAAAATTTGATTTTATTACAATTATAATATATATACTATATGTAATCAGCCTGTTCATCGATTTGTCTTACTACAATCTCTAGATGTATAACTCTACGTATATTCTTATGCTTAAAACTTGACATATCCAAGTTCGATATTCCGCATAACCAGTGACGCTTATCGAGAAATATGATTTGTCAAAAGAAAATATACAAAAGACACTTCGTACGATTCTCTCATTTTTTGACAATACACCGCGTATTTGCATCCAATATTGATTCTCCTCGAAGAAGACTTATTGGAAATAACTGACGCGAGACGATATCTGATGTACTAAACGGGCCAGAAATTAGTCAAAGAGAAACAAATTCGGGTCTTTAAGCGAACAAATACGGATATTCTTTTTTTTCTTCGCATTGTGTTCTGAAAATCGATTACACTTCAAATTCCTAACAATCTGCCGGCCCGTTCTATATATATAGACCGGTGAGATGAGAAGCATTGTGTTACTATAAATCAGTAATGTGCAATAGAAGCTAACTAATACGATAATTAATTTATATAGGATGTCCCACCGTAACGGATGTTAGCAGATATTTCACGGAAAGAAACGAATTTCACCAACAAGTTAACTGTTGCTCGTCACTAATGTCATATGTGTGTAATGGCGATAATTTTTTTTCTTACGTCTAAATATAAACAAACTGCACATATTCTTTATACTTTTATATATAAAAAAAAAGCACTTAAAGTAGGCTGTAAGCGTTTCCCTAAATAAATCGTAGTAGCGAATGTTTTCATTAAAAATAGAAGAAAATCATGAATTCATACATTTTTTAATTAAAAAGTATAAATTAATAAAAAATTGAATAAGAAATTTAATTAATAAATTTAATAATTCATTTATAAATTATAAATAAACATCTGTTTAAAATAGAAATTTAACAAATTTCCTCTCACAAAAGTGGCGGTAGGACAGTGTGCAATAACATAAAACTAAAGCGAAACATGCTTTCAGTTCAAAATAACAAGTTTTTCGCAACGTATCTGTGTTTCAACAAATAAATATCGGCAACAATTTTCAGGAAATAGTGAGACTCATGTGGTGTGTAGAGAGAACGACAGAGATTAACTTTCCTATGACGTACAATTTATGAAAAGTTTACAAGGAGAAAAGATTCAGAGGAGATGACTAAAAGGAAGAGAAATATCTTTTAAAAGAATTCAGGAAAAAGGATGCTGACAGGTCCGAGATTTTTAAGAGCAGAATCGCATCTGTAGCGAACGTATCTCGTACTCAGATCACTGATAGGCTTCTATCAACTTCGGCCATTGCTTACTCCTCTAAAATATTATAGTAAAACACTCACAGACTTCGAAGTATCTGTAAAACGATCCTGAAACGAACGATAAACGGACCGCCGGCGAAAATTTACAAATCGATCGATAGACCGGCCGAAAGATGGTCGGTCATTTATCACGCGATTTCAGGAGGTTTCTCACCAAAGTGGTATATCACAGTGCAACGATCCAGACATTCGATGGATTAGGTTTTTCTGGAGATGGAGGTTAAGAGGTGGGAGATAGGTCGATTAAGGTAACTGATTTTTTTATATCGTACGGATCGCTTCAGGGAATATTACGTTATTGGGTTTGTCGGGTTTGTTGCTAGATCGATTTACAGTCGTCTCGATCGATCCGTACGCAGCAATCGCGCCTGTACAATTGCATTTGTATCACAAAATACGATGGTGTGCATCATCGTTCGTAAAATCGTGCTCGACGGCGATTTATCGCACCAAGGACCGTGCAATTTAAGGGTTCCAGCCGTAAACGCGCGAGTCTCCCGGTGATGGATCTTCGATGGAACCTTGGTAATGATGAATGCTTCTCGAAACAATCGATCAGATCGACCCAGGGCAACATACGTCAAACGACAAATGACGGAGAAGAGCGAACAAAATTCACTACCTCCCCCACACAGCATGCTTTATCCAAGGGACGTCCTGGGAATGTCCTTAGGACGTGGGACGTCTTCTGGACGTTTTTAGGGCGTCCTTTGGAGGTTTGTGCTATGGGCCCATTCATGTGCAATGTCTGGTTATTTTACTCAATGCCATGTGCAAAGATCATCACTAGCCCCGGCTCGACCATCATGTCTTCTGGCATGTGTGTGTTATCACAGTGAAGAACCAATACCGCCTGCTTGCCGGGTACTCTTTTACAGACGTAGTTGTCATATTGTCGCCGAGAGTTTTGTCGTGTTTCAAGTGAACTAAGGCCTGGTGGCCACCTTCTCTCATGACAGTTCTCCATCAGCTCATCGATTACGTGAGGTGGACAATTATACTCCGAAAGAGTTCTCTTTATCATTGTCTGCAACAAATAAAGATACAATATTGATGAACACAATTAGAACATTCATTAAATGCTCTAATTAATTTGAAATTGCGCGAACCAATGGCAATTGATAAGTCGCACCTGAAGTAATTCGTCCGGTGTCGATATCATGCCACCCCATCTGGTAACCCTCGCACGTGGAAGAGTAGCTGACCATCTCACAACATCGTCCCGTTCCATCTGGTCGGCTATTGCGCGCATTGTTGGATTGGAAACTCTAAGCGCTCGCATGAAATCCTTTAGTAAATGTATTTCGCGTTTGTGCTCATTAATCTGCAACTGATGTTCGCCAATCTCTCGCTTCATATCTGCCATCTTTTGTTGCTGTGATTGTATCAGGTTTCTGAGCTCACGTACGCAATTATGATCCTTAAGCTCATTCTTTGGAATAATCAAGCTGCAGCCTTGTTCACAGAGCATCGGTCTTTTAGGATTGTATTCGCATTGCTCAAGATGATTGGCCAAACTATCTAACTTGACAACCACAGAACAACCATATACAACATTGTCACATTTGATAGACAAGCGAGCCAATAAGTTTCTAAGAATTCGAGGAACTCCTCTTAGCTGAGTAACTACAATCGGTGTACGGTCCAGTGGGCATGTATGTTGACGGTTTATCCATTCATTGATGCAGGAACGACAGAAGGCATGTTCACAAACTGGTGCCTGCAACATATTATTTGCTTGTCGATTATCATAACCTACATAGTTCCACAATATGATATATAACTGCATATCCCCTAAGGATAATAGTATTAATGACAATAAGAATAATATATATATATAACAAAAAGGAAAAAACTTCTCCATATAATGTATACTGCAAATTGCTTCAAGATTAGTAAAATTAGGAAACTCATTACACGTAAGTCAACTTCATCGTGTTTTGCTGGAGCGGAAAAATGTCAAAGTTCGAGAAAACTCGGATGTCGACAATTTTGTTCTTCTTCGAGGATCGCAATACTTTTTGCGTCAAATTATTTTTTGCATCTCGAATTCGACAAATTTCTCAAACAATGCGCAGAATTATTAGAATTAAGGTTATGTGGAGGATCACGACGAAGCCCCTTTGGTTCAAGCATAAATGATCGTCCTACCTGGACGGGGTCTTCGAGTACACCGGAGCAAATGGGGCATAGGAGCTCCTCGTCAACGTCGCCTTGGAAGCGGTTCACATCAAACCCCATCGCTCGCAAATGCGTGTTCACCTATTCGTCGCCTTCCGTGCAACCAACACAATTCTCCGCGACTGATAGGAACGAACTTAGTCACGGGAGCACGTGTGGATCCACTCGAGTCGACTCTCGAATCGTTTTAAACTCTCTCCCGACTCATGTCCGCTGCATTTCAAATGCAGATTCAGGAGCTTTCGCGCAATTAATCGTACTTGTTGTTATCACATAAAACACGTCTGTAAATTAGTCTGTTCTTTATAGCTGCACTGCTGAACTGGTGCATAAGTTAAAGTGAGAAAACATATACTTGTCTCACTTTAACTTATTGCATTACTTCAGCAGTGCAGCTATAAAGAACAGACCAAATGTTTCGGAATTGATTTCGTTTCCTCGATAATAGGTAATAGCACTGAAGCAACGGTAAAGCTTTGAAATTGTAATTTCTATTTCACCCGTCTTTGCGAAGGAAGACGACTTTCTCTCTCTCTCTCTCTCTCTGCATGAATCTCTAGAGATAAGGTTATCATTGGTCAAATTATTATAACAAAATCGTTAGTTATCCGTCGTCGAGATTTCGCGGCCTCGTATGAAACGGTTCTGGAACTTTGACGTACATGAAGACAGCACTGAAAACACTCCTCACCTCTTTGCAGAAGAGCGGAGCCCAGACTTGTTACTGTTGGACAACGACATTTGTACCGTTATGCTTGTGGTTCCCATTTGTCCCGTTCTCGCGCTAATCGGCTTGCTGCTCCCGAAATGCATAGTCGGAAGTAACCACCTGCTCTATTATTAACGACCGTCGAGGAGCGTCCTTTACTTAACTTTATTGTGTAGAACTCTTGGGAAATTGTATGAAAAAATTAATGATCTCTCTCTCTCTTTCCCTCCTTCTCTTTCCCTCTTCCCTTCTTTCTGTTCCGACAAAAACAAAAGCAGTACAAGTTGTATCCACAATGAATCCATGTGACTTACATGTATTACCTGAATATAGATTCATCCACGAATTATTCATATGGATGCAACATTTTCTTTTTATCACCAAATCAAAATAATTTGTCTTCGAAGTATCAATGTAGATTCTACGCATATAGCGCCAAGTCGACTGTTAGTCGATTATAAGTCGGCAGAAGTTTGAAGTCGACTTCAAAGTTACACTAAATATCAACTTATAATTGACTAATAGTCGACAAATGATTCAACTATAATCGACTATCAGTCAGCCAATAAGCCGATTTTTAAATCAACTTTTAGTCAATTTGTCGTCATCAATATTTACTATGAATTTTTATTTTAATGGTGACATTTTTCAAAAACTTTATGAGTTTTATTCCATTATACTTTAATCGTATAATATTAAGTTACATGTAATACAATAAAAGTATAATAAAATTAGATTGACCAAATCTTTGAAAATGTCAGATTTAATTTGGATAATTATAATAGGTATATGAAAAGGAAGTATATGAAAAGGAAATATATGAAAAGGAATATAAAAAAAGAACTAGTACGATATATGTTACATGTATATTAATTTTTATAGTTGCTATAGTTGCTTTTTATACGTTGCGTTCTCATCCTATCATCAGATCGTCGCAAGAATTCTTGTATACACGCTTCGATTTCGGTAATCGTATTGTTACCTTTCTTTAAAACAACTGCTACATGTAATAATAATTAAATGTATAAATAAACATGTTGTGATATTAAGTAGTTCAACAAGATCTAAATAAATATCGGAAAATATAGTTCCCAAAAATTAAGGTCTGAATATACTATCTCATAGAAATATATTGTAGAAAAATTTAATTATTTTTTTACAATGTTCCCGTGTCATATATGTTCAGTACATTATATTTATTTTTTTTGTGGCTGAACTACTGTACATTTATACTTAAAATAAAAGTGATAGAAATATATGTGAAGTTTAGCAAAAGCAAGAAAGAAAATTTTACAAGGTCCATATAAGCGCGTAATATTATTTAATATTAAGTAATATTTCTGGAATGTTAATAGATGGTTATATGTCCACTCCTCTAATAATATTAAAAAAATAATATTATTTAAATAATATTATAAAAAATAATATTATAAAAAATAATATTATTTAAATAATATTATTTTTACGTTATTGTAATATATATTTTTTAAATATTCAACTGTACGTATATATGTCGCAGGGAAATGATGAAAATGGAGATTTGATCAAATCCCTAAGGTAGATGATCAATTCACGGGTGGGGTGATTTCACACATCTTCCGTGAATTGATCATCTACCTTAGGGATTTGATCAAATCTCCATTTTTATCATCTCCCCGTGACATATATATGAGAGCATAATATATAAGAACGAGCGCAACATAGCAGGTAGCGCACCGATCTACTATGTCAGCGGGTCCCAAGTTCGATCCCGGCAGAAGCCAAAATATTATTTACGCTCGCATCTTCTCTCGGAAGGCAATGGCAAACCACCGAGAGTGTATCTTTGCCAAGAGAGAGCCTTTCTAAAAAAATAATGCCGTTCGGAACCGGCGATAAACTGTAGGTCCCATATGCCTGTGTATAATCAACGTGCGCACCACAGACATATGAGAGAGATTACCGCGCCCGGACACGGACAACAGAACTAGGAAGATATATATATATATGTAATTGTAATATTTTATTTCAAATGTATTGCAATATCAATTGTTTTATTATATAAATAAAGTCGAAAGAATTTTGTGTAAAACTACGTCTCAAAAATTATATATATATACCTATGCAGCATGTAAACGTTCGAGGAACGTTCGCTTTACGTTCACTTGGTTTGGTTATATTCAAACAAAGTGGGAACGTTCGAAGAATATACGTTTTAAAACCTTTAATATATATCTTACGTAGCAAAAGTGTCACAGTATCACAATTATGCTGCTCAGTTACAATTCCATTTTTTAATATATTAATTTGTTATAAATAGACATAATCAAACTTCAAGATGTATATATTTTAATTAAAAAATGGAATTGTAACAGAACAGCATAATTGTGGTACTGCGACACTTTTGCTATGTAAGATATATATTAAAGGTTTTAAAACGTACAGGGTGCGGCAGTGTAACTTCCTTTTTTCAAAATTCAATAAAATGCATTTTATGAGGCACATATTTTTTTTTTTTTTTATAATGCAGATAGACATCTAAAGTTTTATCTTACATGGTTTTGAAAATCATATCCGAAAAGTGACGCCCCCCATTGTCTATACACTGGGTAAACCGAATTCTGGCATTTGTCATTACTCTTTCGAGCATAGCGACGGGTATGTTGGCCGTTTCTTTCCGAATATTGGCCTTCAGGTCTTCTAGGGTCCTTGGACGGTTGGCGTAAACGCGGGATTTCAAAAAACCCCACAAAAAAAAATCGCAAAAGGCCAAATCGGGGGAGCAAGCTGGCCACTCCAAATCACCCCTCAGGGAGATGAGTCACCCTGGGAAGTGGTTCCTCAAAACAGCCATCGATGCCCTTGAAGTGTGAGCTGTTGCTCCGTCTTGTTGGAACCATATGTCTCCTAAGTCCATTTCATCAAGTCGTGGAAAAAAAAAACCCTCGAGCATGCTCACATAACGGTCTGAATTGACTATTCTTGTGACCTGATTTTCTTAAAAAAACCATGGACCAACGATCTCAACGCGTTACATTTCCGGTATCTCGGAAAGAACTGACCTAAGAAAGAATTAATTTCCGGTCCGGGACAGGACCCAACGTGGCTATATTAAAGTGATTTCTGAAGGCACGCTGAGTTGCAATCAGCGAATTGCCGTTAGAAAAATACGCTTCTACGGCAAACGCACAGTCCTCACTGTTCCAACGCATGATGGCGACTGACCGAGGAGTGAACAAAAGGATCCCCTCTTTCAAATGAGATCATTAGCGCCTCTCTACGACCGTTACTTTTTTAAAGGCGGGCATTTTAAATAAAGAAGTTACGTTACCCTATATGTTCTTCGAACGTTCCCACTTTGTTTGAATATAACCAAACCAAATGAATGTAAAGCGAGCGTTCCTCGGACGTTTACGTGCTGCTTGGGTTGGGACTTTGAGTTTTTTTTTTGAGCTGTTATTGGACATTTTAATTGATAAAGTAGACTTAGAATAAGTTTCTGAGGTGAATCAATGAGCTTCGTCAGCCGTTTTCTTCTAATCAAAGCAGTAAAATAAAACCAGCGGCACACAGTAAGTCTGTTCGTTTTCGCTGCACCGCTGAACTATAGCATTAAGTTGAAGCGAGACAAGTATATGTTTTCTCACTTCAACTTATTATACTAGTTCAGCAGTGCAGCGAAAACGAACAGACTTAATGCTTGTTTTCGTGCTGGATTGTTTGCTGGGTGGAAATACAGCGTTTTGATTGGTGTATTGTCATCTATTTTTGGAAATACACCAATTAGAACGCAGTATTTCTATCCAGCAAGTAATCCATCATGAAAACACGAATCGTGTGCCGCTGGCGTTACATAAGGTCTGTTCGTTTTCGCTGCACCGTTGAACTAGTGCAATAAGTTGAAGCGAGATAAGTATATGTTTTCTCATTTCAACTTATTGCACTAGTTTAGCGGTGCAGCGAAAATGAATAGACTTATGTACGGAATACGTTCTACTTAATGCTCACAATGATTGCGACTAAGGTTGAATCTACAATGTCCAATCATATTAGTCAATTTGCCAAATTGATCAATTCAATTGGATATCTGGACATGGCCTATGCTTGCAATCGTTGCGAACGTTTAAGTGGAACGCACCCGTTATGGACTCTTACATTCGATTGGTATATTTTTTTAGATCTAATAATTTACTCCAATTAAATACCAGGACTCACTAACTGCAGTTACTACTAAACTGGATTAACATTAGGTCTGTTCGTTTTCGCTGCACTAGTTCAGCGGTGCAGCGAAAACGAACAGACCTATTGCTGTATAAACAAAATCTGTGTCTCTCGTTAGAAGACACCCGTTATTTTTGCGCTAGAGCGTCGCGAATTGCAAATAACGTTGATGCGTGATCATTCAACATTGTTTAAATATTCACGATCGACTGCAAGAGAAAACGGCAGTATCACAAGTGCGATTTAGTTCCAGACTCTTTGCAGTTTCATTTTGCCACATTGTCCGAGACTCAACGTTGTTTGAAAGACGTACAGAACGTGGAAAAGAGCGGCCGGATGGCCATCAATATGATGACACCATTGACATCGCCTTCACGGGCGACCATGACAATGGTGAACAACAGCAAGGAGTATTACAGTTTTCATGTGAACGTGTGTGATGATACATTTACATGTGACGAGAGGAAGAAACGTCTGATTATCCCGTCAGGGCAGTCCCTTACTCAAGAAAATTTGCGACAGAAATTGGTAAATAGTGATCTTTTATATATTTACCGCAAATAGTCATGTTTGGCGTCATTATGGCGTCATTATGGCGTCATTATAGCGTCATTATAGCGTCATTATAGCGTCATTATAGCGTCATCTATATTTTACATATAAGTATCTCAATATATGCAAATTTAAGAAATAACTTGAGCTTCTATTATTCTGCTATATGTTTTTTGGACTTTACATATGTAAAAAACTAGTAAATAACAAATATGGTAATATTGTATTTAGTTTTTAACATAGTGTATAATGATATGAAAGAATATGATCAATGTTCATCTATTAATAAGTTTCTTATTTGTCATTTCTTTTTTTATTCCTATTGCAGTATGATCAATTTGGAATTAAGAAAGATAGTTGTATTTCTTATATTGATGGTGATGGTGATGATCTTCCAATAGAATCAGAATGTGAGTTTCAGGAAGCATTAAAGGTATGTATTATATATAATAATAATAATAATAATATAATTATGCTTTAAATTAAGAAATCTTTTCCTTATAGCAGCGGTACTTGTTGAAATATTTTGTTATCTTTATATTTTTTTCTTTGTTTCGCTAAATATCAAATATATATTTATTTTAAGTGCAGATAATGCAAGTTTCTTTTTAAATTGTGATTAAGAAGAACTAATTCAGGAATTCTGAAGTCTATTTTTTGTTTTAGCTTGCAAAAACTTTTGTACCAAATAAGGGACTTGTATTGGTTGTGCGGCCTTGGAAACTTACTAGATGGAATAATATTCTGGATATGGAGCAATGTAATAAAACGACCAAGTGTCAGGATACACAGAATATTGAGAATATCGAGAAGATGACACAGAATTGTGCTTCGGATTTAAATAGCATGACACATGCAATGACAGATCTAGTCAGCAAGATGTGTGAGAAGCAACTGGGAGTGTTTCCAAGCAACACATGGTTTGAAATTGATGATTCAAATGTTTCATCGCAACGGCACTCATCACAAGTTTTGCACAAGGATACTTCACCTCCTCCATGGTTTATAGAATATATGGAATCTGTAAGTACACACACACACACACACACACATACACACATACTGGTAAATATATGGAAATATATGTGTATGTATGACTGTATGTATTTGTTATCTGCTTATATAATAGTGAGTTTATTCTTTTACCTTTAATTACCTCGTAGATGAAGAAGGAAATGGTATCTACAATTACTCAAGAAGTAGTGGAGCAAATGACTGAAATGCTGGACAAACGTTTGGATTCTTTTACGTCTTCTCTATTCAATGAAACTAGTCAATATAAACGACGGTCACATTCTTCTCTCTCAAAACGACATTCTCGATATTCCTTCGAATCACATTCGAACGAGAAAAACCAGAAGAGAATAAATGTTCAAGACGAGGGACAGTTCAGTGATGCTTCAATCGAACGGGTGGATGAACCACAGGATATGAATGTGAACGTGAACGTGAAAGATCACGATCGGCAATTACAGCAGGCAAAGCTATATTTACATGATCTAGATAACATCAAAGGTCAAATCCATGAACTCCTTAAGGAGAAGCAATATTACCGAGTTGACGATATGACTAACAATCTGGACACGGGCATCAATAGACAGGATCGTAGAGAATCCATACAGAGTGTAAACGATAACAATGTGCAGGAAGACATTGCATCTCCAGTTTGTTGCATGACTTCCGACGCGTTGAAGATTCTTGACGGTGAGTTTCGCATGAACTGCTCTATCACTGGAAATCGAGCGCTGAACATGGATTCATCCCACGAAAACACTTGGTGCAATGACCTTATGGAGGACATTGATAGGATCAGTCATTATTCAGGCTGTTCTATTTTGTCGGACGAGCGGGAACATATGGACACTTTCGTGATGGTTGAAATGCCTATGCCAGAAAACGTAGATCCGTCACTTAAGCATCCTAAGGTATCCTCTGCTGCCGAACTACAGCAACGTGATAATAGTCGAGATTCTCCTAGCTTTGAACTATTGTCGGAGACACCTTCACCACGCTCCTCTTCATATATTTGTGAGGAACATTTCGTAAACGTCTTTTCAGCGAATGAAAAAGACTTGCAGACGTCCGTGGTTAATTCGAATTCAGCGGTGAGTTCAGCTTATATGGTGGATATTCATGGCAAGATCTACAATGAACACGTGCCAACGACTCCCGGCACGAACATTGAGTTTGAGAAACGATCCGATGGAATCTATTCTTTCGTAGCAGAGACTTTGCCGGTACGAGAGATCGATTCTTCCATGTCCAAGTTGTCACACGCAGAGCAACAAACGTTCAGTGAACAGAAGAGCTCGCAGTACAATACGACAAATTTAAATAACGAGCGGAACCAGCTTCCAAACTATTCAAGAGCAGCAGATGACCAGCATCATTTGCCCGCAGAGACGTTCTACTGGAAGATGCATTCGCAATCACAAACCGATGCGAGCGACTTCGTGCAGAGCTTTCACTCACATACCACATCGGTTACTGACAACAATAATGATCTCTTCTACCAGCCAACTAACTATGTTGAGCAGAAAACAGCGATTAAGAACACTCAAAAATCGACTACGACTACAACGACGTCTCCAAGGAAAGCTACACAATACAACACTCGTGATAAAAGGAGTAGCAGAGTTAGAGCGGACGAGACACGTTGTGATGACACGGGCAAATTTGTTCGACCGCAACAGTCGAATCGACCGAGCGGATTCGATAATTGTTCCAACGGATCAAGAAGAACGTCTGAACAGCTGCCGAACGCCACCGCCGATCCTGTCCTCATCCTGCCAGAGGCGCTGCTTACCATGGCTACGCAAATGGGATCAATTGCTTACGTTACCGCACGTGATATGTTCGACAAACTGCGTTCACACACGGTGAGTTTCTTACATTATGTTTATCCACATATAGTAGATATTATGGTTTTATATTGGAATACACATTATTTGCAAACAAAATTATGATAATAATGAAAAAGTGGTTGTTCCAGAAGGATGATCCTGTTAAACGCCGACGTGTGAAATTAAACACCACTACACAAAGCTCTTTTTCGTCGGCAACGCATCGTCCGGTTAATCAGTCATAATCAGGATCTTCATAGTTGATAGATTCTATACTAGACAAAATTTGTTAGGTAAGCATGCGTTAGACAAATTAAAAGAAGCAAATATAATAAATGAAATTACGCGACAGCGTTCTCGATTCATTGTTTTACGCAGGTATCATCAAGTACAATGTAATCGTAAAGTATGTAAGACGCGTAATTCGCAGTACTGGGTTTAATTCTGCGAAATGATATAAATGATGACCGACATTCATATGTCGATCATCGTTAATTTAGTCGGTAGAGTGGTATGCAAAATAGTATATCATTGCTAGCTAAGATGAGATTGTAACAGCGGCGAATTGACAATGACAAACGAGAGAAACATGGTGAGGCACCTTGCATGTACAAGTGATCCTTAATCACGTATAATGAATAGATGTATGGTGTTCTAAATTACAAAATCAGAAAATATTATGGATACCACACTTCTATTTATCGTGTGAAATTAAGAGTCATGTATCATGTGATTAGTACTTCTTATAGTGATTCATGCTATACCATAGAAAATATGAAAACTGGCTGTAATTGTATTAAAATTAAGGAAATTATATATATGAAAAACAAAAAGAAAATGAGAGGAGAAAATAGCGCAAATATGATCGAGACACCTATTATGGAAACACTCGGGATGGTTTTTGATCGGAATCATGCAATTATTCCTTACATTTCTATTATGTTTTCAAGGAAATAACTGAACGATTCTGATCGGAATCATTCACTTATTCCCTATAAAATATAAGAAAAAATATAGGGAATAACTAATAGATTCCGAATAAGTCCATAATACATGTCCTGTTTTATAATAATAGATGTTCAATCTCAGATTAACAAGAAGGCAAGAGTCTGCGAACTTATGATGGGAGTTGTGAGGTTTTCCGAAATAGACATTTTTTTAATGCGAATACGAGGGAAAGGAGGAAGAAAATAATTGGTATATGTATATTTTTATTTGCGGTCTATACGGTAGGTCATAACAGTTGCACACTTTTTTCGACGAGTTTCATAATACATCTCGTATCCAATAGGAAAATGTATTTCCTGAGAGTTATTAAAGAACGAATTTTCTTATTGAACATGGGATGCATTCTAAAATTTATAAAAAAATGTTGTAACCTTCCTATGACTGGCCATACACATGTATCATGCAAGACGATATATCGAGGCTCGGCGTTAAGTATCTAGCGACATCAGATATTCGACACTGTCCTTTCAAGATATATCGAACCACACAACATACGTTATTACACTATGCTAGAGCTTGTGGAAATTTAGGATTTGCAGAAATAAATGGTTTAGACACAACTTGTGTAGTTTGAGTTTTGGATTTCATAATTTCGACCTAATAATTCAAACGTTTCCGAATGCTTAAAGGCTCTTAAAGGAGTCTACAGTAGCCCTAAATTCTGGTCTATAATAGATGCTTTAAGCTCTAAGCTTTAAGGCTTCGGAGTAGTTACCGTGACCATATTGGGTTCGTGATTTATAGGCGAGAAGTGACAGAAGTGAAAACACGTTGAGAAATATTGCGTGTCATTTATAAATAAAAAGATATTTGAATAAAACAACATTTGAGATCACTTGAAGACACTTGTGAAGATGGACGAAAATTCTCCTTTTCCCTCCTGATAGTCAATAACCGTAAAAAATAAGTGAAATAAGGCCCTATTCATATAGAAAAACACGATTTCACAGTTATTGAAAGGAGTGAAAAATATGCTCCTCCTACGTATGAAATTCCAGGGTAATCTTGGTTTTCGTCCATTTTTACGGGTTTAACAAATATATCAAAATTTAGACCTGCACAATTAAATAGATAATAAAATGGTACGCAACACAAAATTTTGTTGTCAACATGTTACTCTTCACGCATATAAGTACAATCTAGAAAGTGCTATAAATGTTTCGAAGCCTTTTATTCTAAGTACAATCTAGAAAGTGCTATAAATGTTTCGAAGCCTTTTATTCTTTCTTCTTTTTTTCTTTACTTAATCTCGAAAAATATACGAAGAAAGAGAAACGCTTTGAAACATTTGTAGCGCTTGCTAGACGCACTCTATTGGTTCATCTTTTGCCGTTCCCTTTTGTCGTATTGAACTGTGTCGCTACTGTCAACGCAGAGTTCTTATTTGACTACTCCGAAACCTTAAGAAATTGATCAATTACAGTCGAATATGAGGAAAATAATGTAAGGAGGATAATCGACTGTGATTGATAAATTTCTTAAGGCTTAAAGCTTAAAGCACTTATTGTAAATAGGGATTTAAATATACAAGGTGCGTCTGCTTTGCACGTTTACGCACTTTAAGCGCTTATAAGCATCGCTTTCACCATTTCTTTTGAAATCGTGAGCGATCACAGAATGCGTAATAACGTCATTGTTCCGTCATAACTTGCGCTTACAAATGCTTTTCCTATCGAGGTAGGGCAGCGTGAGTGCCTAAGATGCAAAGTGATCTATAAACTGTCCTATAAGTGTATAATATTCCTAGAATATTATATGAATATTATTCAATATTAAAATAATGTTCTTATAATATTCTAAGAATGTTATATAATACTTTTTAATATTATAGGAATGTTCTATTGATGTTATATGTCCATTTCACATAATACTCTAGGTGTTATAAGAATGTTCTTAGAATATAAAAAAAAAATAAAAAAAAATATATATATATAGATATATATAAATATAATTTTTTAAACATAAAACCTATTTTTTGTACAAAATTCTTTTGAATTTATTTATATAATAAAACAGTTGCAATACATTTGAAATAAAAAATTACAATTATATATATATTATATATATACATAGAGTTAAATGTTTAAAAAAATATATATTGGGAGTACAAATTAGTTCGGTCCGTCTTCAAAAGATGGTTCTGGCTGTTATGAATGTTCCATAGTGACAGCTGATTTCGGTGGTTTCAGAGAGGTTAGACATCTGTCAATAATATTCACCCCCTGTTTTTTACTGTGTTGAATATGTCAAATTTTGTGTTAACTAAGCAGCATTTGCGAGAGGTTTTAGTTTTCCGCTTTAATTGGAAGAAAAGTGCAGCTGAAGCGCATCGAATGCTTATAGAAGTTTACAGTGACAATGCTCCAATTGATAAATCATGTAGGGAATGGTTTCGACGTTTCAAGAATAGTGATTTCAGACAAGACTCGCTCTGGACAGCCAAAAAAATTCGAAGACAAAGAATTGGAGGCATTACTCGATGAAGATATGAGTCAAACGCAAGAGGGCCATCGGTATAGGCTACAATTGATTCGTTTGAGCCGTGCATTACGAGAAAGACGGCCGGAATACGAGCAAAGACATGACAAAGTTATTCTTCTGCATGGTAACGCTCGGCCTCATGTCGCAAAAGTCGTAAAAAATTATTTGGAAACGCTCAAGTGGGATATTTTACAGCACCCGCCGTATTCGCCGGACATTGCTCCTTCTGATTACTGGTTGTTCCGACGGATGCAGCACGATTTGGCAGGTCACCGGTTTACTTCTTTCGCAAAAATCGAAAATTGGTTCCTAACTTGTATTGCCTCAAAAGGCGAGACATTTTTTTGAGATAGAATTCGAAAATTGCCTGAGAGGTGGGAAAAAGTAGTAGCCAGCGATGGACAACACTTTGATTAATATCTGTTCATTCATTTTGTTCTGAAATAAATGCATTTTTGACCACAAATAACGGACCGAGCTAATTTGTACTCCCAATAATATTATAATAACATTAAATAATATTATTTTTTAAATATTATTAGGAGTTGGCACATAACCATCTATTAATATTCCAGAAATATTACTTAATATTAAATAATATTACGCGCTTATATGGTGTGAATACAGAAGTAAACATGGAAAACGAGAAGTTTTCAATGTAGCTGAAAGATACCGAAACGGGAAACATATATACAATATTCATAATCTCAGAGGAAGCAACGTATTTAGAAACCGATAAGTTTATTATTATTAAAATGATAAGCTGCTAGTAAAAAAAGATGTTCTTTCTTAGTTAAACCAAATATCGAATATACGAGGTCTGTTCAAAAAGTAACGCGAATTTTGAATTTCCGCGGGT